GCTTCTGCTTCGGCAACTGCTGCTTTTGATGATGGTGATGGTGACAACAATGGCAGTGCCCCCCTGTCGTGGACCCTCTTCCGCCCCCCCAGTGCCCCTCGTGTCAGAGCGGCGCCCTGCCCTGCCATAGGCTGAGTGCTTTCCTCCCGTGCTGCTGCTCCCTCCCTTTGAGGCGCGTCAAAAGTCAGTGCCCCTCGTGTCAGAGCGGCGCCCTGCCCTGTCACAGACTCAGTGATCTCCTCCCGTGCCACTGCTCTCTCCCTCCCTTCACATGACAGAGCCCTCCTTCCCTCACATGCAGCCGCCCTCTGGCCCTCTTCGCTTGCCCGAGTACTGTCCTCCCCTGTTGCTGTTCCCTCCCCCCCTTCACTTGTCTGAGTGCTCTTCTCCTGAGCTGCTGCTGCCTCCCTCGCTTCAATTGACAGAGTGTAACTCCCCTCAGGTGAATCCAGGGAGTTTGAATCAGGGGACGGGCGATCAGGAGCGGGTATATGTGCGGGGGGGTGATGAGGCGGGTACATCTGCTGCTGCCGCTGCTGATGGTAGAGCTTCTGTTGCTGTTGCTGCGGCCACTGCTGCGGCCACTGGTGCTGCTGCTGGCCTAAACCAAGCCAGCGCTGCAAATCGAGTTTGTGAGAGAAGGAGGTCGCGGGGAAAGGCTGGAGAGGAGCCTGGTATGAGGGCAGACGGGGAGGCAGCGGCAGCAGGAGGAAGAGGAGCGGGAAGGAGAGCAGCTGAGAGAGCAAAGCTCCGAGGATGAAGGAGGCGAGGGGAGAGCGGAAGGGGAAGCGGAGAGAGGGAGGGAGCAGGGAGCTGGGTCGGGGGAGAGAAGGGAGAGAAGAATTGGGAGGTGGTATGGAGTTCGTGTGACTCAGACTGTGAAAGAGGGATCGTGGGGAGGCGGAGTGAGGGAAGCTGTGGGAGTGAGTGGATCTATCATGTCGCTCTTTTGTGTGACTGTGGTGGGACCGGTGGGGCTGGTGGGACTGGTGCTCCAGCTTATGCTGCTGCTGCTCTTGCTGCGGATGGTGCTGATGGTGGTGCTGATGCTGCGGGTAATGTTGTTGCTGCTGCTGCTGCTGTTGCTGCTGCTTTTGCTGATGGAGATAAAACGGCTGCGGCTGTTGCTGCTGCGGAGGCGGAAGCGAAGAGGACCCTTCAGGCGAGCGGGGAGTTCGGTGATGCAGCGTGGAGGACGGGGAGGCAGCAGTCATGTTGCGATGAGGGGATGCGTTGGAGGTAGCAGGTCTTGACCTGCCTGGAGACGACTTTTGAGACGTCTCAACAGTCATGTTGCGAAGGAGATGCGACGGTATAGCAGGTCTTGACCTGGAAGGAGGTGGGGAGCTAGCTATTCCGTCGCAGTTTAGACACAAATTCGCTGAGTCGCCGGATTCCCACCCGAGAGTCTAGACTCTCTCAGTCATGCTTCACCGTCGATTAGAGCACGGATCCGCTGAGCCGTAGATTCGAGCACGGATCCGTTGAGCGCCGTTGATTAATTCACGAATCCGCTGAGCCGCCGATCGTTTCACTTGAAAGAGTTTCACCAAGGGGATCAGTGGAGGAGGAGGCAGAGGCTCACCTTGCGCGCGTACTGGTTCTGCAGCGCTGCTCCCCACCCGCCTTCGCTGAACGAATGCTGCGTCAACGAGTCGCCGAACAGCACGAATGTCGGACGAATGCGAGCCATTCCGCGGAGATCGCCTTATTACTAGCGTGAAGGAACTCTGTCTACGGGAAGAGAGTTCTGAAAACCGTAGTTTAACAGAATTTTCACTGAAGATGAGTCTCTGAAGCTGACGGCTAAGTTGGCTTCTGAGGCGCCTCAGAAGAAGTATGAAGGTTTAGCCACACTGAAGATGAGTCTATGGGGGATTGACTGCTGCGTTGGTGATGCACTGATGCCGCTTGCCTCTCCACCACAGCTGATATTGGGCCTTGGAATTGGTCTCTGTGACGTCCGTTCCGCAAGGTCTGTGGTGCGAGCTACGCCAACGCAAGACGGAGACGCTGGAAAACGAAGAGTCGCGAGGCAGGTTTACGGGAAGACGAACGCGAAGGCTAACGTGAAGCCTACGAGGGAGAATGCGAGTCCGACAGACAAGTGTCACTTCTACCAAATGGGCTTCTGAGTAAGCTGGACCGACGTTGTCCGTTTCAGTTAGTTCATGGGGGGAAACGGATCGAGCAGAAGTCTCGAGATGTGCGTCAAGACTCTCTCTTCTCGGGTTGATCGCGGCTGTTGTAGCGAATTCTGTGCATAGGGAAGAAAGGTGACCGTTGGCTGATGTAGATGTTGGCCTGTCAGGGAGTTTGGCAGTGGGAGTGCTTTGCTCCTCCTGGGCGAACAAGCGTTTCGCAGTAACTGGTCTGAGTTGACGAAACATAATATCGAGTGGGAGTGGAGGATGACAGGGAAAGACAATTCTGCGAGTAAAGAGAATGTTCGTGAGGGCTATGAACATAGCCCAACGACTGTCGTGAAAGAAGCCAGAACGACGAGGGTTGATTCGCCAGAATATTCGCTTGCGACACCCCCGCCTGGGGTTTCCCCCGCCAGTGGGAGCATGGAGGATGTTTTTCAGAGGGTCGTTCTAATGCGTCTCATTACGGTGCTTCACGTTCTAACGCGCTTATTAACAGCATTAAACGGTTAGGTAGGGTACTGAGCGAAAGTGTGAATGTCCCGCACACAGCCAATTCCAGGCTCTTCAGTCACCTTGCTCATCACTTACGCAGCACACACGGCACGGCTTTTCATGTTGATGTTCACTATCACATTCCTTGATGTTCCTGAGGGAGCAACAGCATAGAAAAGAAAATTAGACACCGCACCTGCCAACAATAGTGGGCCAAAGACCCACGCACGGGCTTGCTGTCTGCTCGAACCGACAGGCTGCGAGGCTAGAGCGACGCGACGTGCAAGGTAAGCCGTCCTGTTGTGGATAATGGATGGCGTAGAAATAGGATATGTGAGGGCCTGAAGTATCGTAAGCCGGGGTGCTATAATACTTTGCGCGTTAAGAGAGCGTGACGTAATGCGAACTACAACGACGCACACTCAAAGCTTTGAGTACGGATAAGAGCATAGGACGAGACGAACACGCTGGGCGACATAGAAGACAAACTCGGGTGAGGCGGAACGTCGGGCTTCGCCTAGAAGGATTTTCTGAGATCTTCTGCAAATTTCCTGTTTATCTGACTGCACTCGAACCCTAGCTTGAAACGGAGCGTAAAACCCGAGAACATTCGTGTGAGTGAGATTCACGCGCTCTCCACTATCCTGCATCCTAGCATGCCTTAAAAGGTCCTGGAAAGCCTCTACTGTCTGCCTTCCTCATGTTTTTAGAGAACAACAGCATAGCGAGAATAGAAATAGTCTCTGTTGCCGCCCTGTTTCTCACCTTCTCAGCTCTGCTTCTCTGCCTGTTCGATGCTTCCCTCCTTCCATGCTCTGCTGTTCCACTGCTTCTATGCCATGTCCCCCCTCTCCTCCTATGTTTCTCTTCTCCTATGTTTCTATGTTTCTGTCCTATACATCCCAGTACGTCCTCAGAATGCATGCCCATTTTCTGCCTCCTTCCCTTCCTCCGCGTCCCCCTTTTTCCACGTTTTCACAGGGCATGGCACGGTCAGCAGCAATAGCACCCACAGGAATGGCAGCTGGAGCGACAGCAGCAACGACAACGTCAGCCGCAGCAGGAGGAGTGGCAGCGGCTGCAGCAGCGGCAGGAGCGGCAGCAGCAGAAGCAGAGGGAGAGGTGGTGGGAGTATCAGATGAGGAAATGGCTCTAGCTCTCACAGGGGGTGAAGCAGAGGGGGCAGAGGAGGGGTTATTTGAGGCGTTGTTTCCCTTGGGAGGAGCAGCAGGGGTAGCAGGAGGATCAGGGGGAGCAGGGGCATCAGCAACAGCAGCAGCCGCATTAGCACCTCTCCCTTCGTCCTCCCAGTCCCCTCCTAAATCGTTTCCCTCTCTTTCTGATCGCAAGCCAGTTCGCTCGTTGAACAGATTCAAAGTGGTCAATCTAGTTGACCCTTCGAGATCATGCGAGCTGTCCCTGCATGCTATACAGCAACGGAAGCTTGCTGTATGGGGGATTATCTCCCAGGTTCAGTTTCAAGGCGCAGATTCACCCGAATGTGACAGAAACGGGGGTAGAGGCTCGGGTGGGGGAGCCGGTCCAGAGGATGTGATACTTGTGAGGGTTCACGAGCCTATACGCGTTATAGGCTTCCATATATCGCCCATTTGCGACCCGGATGCCCCACCAACACTTATTCTACACTCTCCCCTTGCGCTTTATGTCTGCCAGACACCAGACTTAGAATATGAGAGCTTTGTTCCTCGCCTCCTATCCACACCTCTCCTTGCTTGGACTGTGCTGCATGGGTTATTGCTGCCAGGTATGAGTGTGAACAGGGGAGGAGTGGATGGAGAGGAGGAGGGAGGACGGGAGGAGGGGAGAGGAGGATTCGGGAGGAGAGGCGGCGGTGGGGGTGGGGTAGGTGGGGCAGGTGGGGTGGGTGGTATTGGGGCGGCGTTGCGTGGATTTACGTGTGGGAGGAGGAGTACGAGCGGGAGGGGGGAGAAAGGTGAGAAGGGGGAGGAAGGGGGTGAAGGTGTGGAGTGGGGTGGGGTGCGGTGGCAAGGAGTGAAATTGGTAGAGGAGTGGGTTGGCAAGATGTGGGATTATTGTGAGAAAAAGGGGGAAGGAGGCAGGAGAAATGGAGGGACAGGGTTGGATGTTGTGAGTGGGAAGGGAGGGGCAGAGGGAAGAGACAAACGGAAAGGAAAAGAGGTGGTGGAGGAAGCAGGAAGGGGGGGAAAGCGAGAAGGAGTGTGTTGGCATCAGTGGCAGCGGCACAGCATGCAGAGAAGACACGGCAGATACAGGAGACACAGCAGGGGCAGCAGGAGCAGCACACACATTGGGGATGTGGTGGGGGGGATGAGTGGGAGAAGAGTGAGGGGGCTTTGCTTTGTGTGGCGGAGGTCTATGGGAGATATGCTGGCGAGCGAGAGAGAGGAGGTGTGTGGGTTGCTGGAGGGGGAGGTGAGGGGATGGAGAGGAGGAGAGAGGGAGGAGGGAGTGGGTGAGGTAGAGGAGGGAGATGAGGAGGAGGGTGTGGGGAGTGGGAGTGGGGAGTGTGTGTGGTGTGGGAGGGAGGGGTGTGATGGGCTGATTGGTGCTGTTGGTGAGTTGAGGAGAGTGTTAGAGAGAGTGGGGAGGGGGAAGGAAGAGAAAGGGAGGAGATGGGGAGCGGGAGAGGGAGGGATGCGGAGGGGAGGGAGGCTGTTGATAGGGGAGGAGGATGAGGGCAAGGAGGAAGAGGAGGAGGAGGAGAAAGGGACGGTAGGATGGAGGAGAGAGAGTGGGAAGGAGACGGGGAGGGGATTGAGGGAAGAGGAGAAGGGTGGTGGAGGAGGGGAGGGAAGGCTTGCTGTCGGCAGCAAGAGAGGGGTTTGGAACGGTAGGAATGGATTGGTGAAGTGTGGGGAAGGAGGGGAGGGGTGTGGGGGAGAGGAGGAACGGGATGGGAAAGCAGCCAAGGGGAAGGGTGGTAGTGGGAGAGATGGGGAGACTGCTGCTGCAAGAGGTGATGACAGGGGTTATGGAGGGGAAAGGGATCACGGTGGTGGTGATGGTGGTAGTGATGGGAGTGATGGGGATGACGATGGGGGGGATGGGTTCATTCCTTTGAGTGGGTCCAGGCCTCAGAAGGGTAAGAGTGGAAGGACAAAGGATGTTGGATTTGGTGGTGGGGTGGGTTCAAAGGGAAAAAATGGTTTTACCCCGCTGATATGGGTGACTAAGGGTGGGGAGGAGGTGAAAAGGCAGGAGGCAGCAAGAGGAATGGCTACTGGTGGGGGTGTTGGTGGTGCTGCTGGTGGTGCTTTTGCAGGTGCTGGTGCTGGTGTTGCTGGTGGTGCTGCTGCTGCTCCTGTGGGTGGTTATGCTGGTGCTGTGAATGAATGGCTGGAGGACGAAGGAAGTGTGGGCGTGAGCGCTGCTCAACCGAGGGGGAAAGCTGGAGAGGGAGTGAAGGAGAAAGAGGGGTTGAGAGTGAGAGAGGGGTTGATTAAAGAGAAAGAGGGGTTGAAGGAGAGAGAAGGGTTGAATGAGAGAGAGGGGTTGAGAGTGAAAGCGGGGTTGAAAGAGAGAGAGGGGCCGAAGGAAAAAGGGGGTCTGATAGTGGGAGAAGGACGAGGGGAGAAGGACGAGGGGTAGGAGGAGCTAAGGGGCCTGAAACACCTTTAAAGCAGAGGGAGGGGGGGAATGTTGCAAAGGGGAGGGTGAACGAAGGAGAGAGGGTGAGTGGTTTTCAGGTGAGAGTGAAAGAGGAGCCATTAGAGGATATAGTGATGGGGGAGAGAGAGAGGGGAGTGGGGGAGTCGGGGCAGGTGGGGGGGTAGGGACGGTGGGAACGGTGGGGAAGGGGGGAGTGCAAGAGGTTGCTGAAGCGAAGGTTGAGGAGAGAGAGGAGGGGGAGGTGAGGGAGGAGGAGGAGGAGGAAGAGGAGGAAGAAGAGGAAGAGGAGGGAAAGGAGGGAGGGGAGGGAGAGGACAAGGAGAGGAACGTGAGAGGAAAGGGGAAGGGGGAGGAGGAGAGGGAGAGAAGGAAGGCTGGGGGGGGAGTGAGGAAGGATAATGAGGAGGAAGAAGACGATAGTGATAGTGATGAAGACAGTGATGAGGATTCTAAGGACGATTCTAAGGATGATGATTACAAGGGTGATGAGGAGGAGGAGGACGAGTCTGAGAGTGATAGTGATAGTGATGGGGATGGGGGTGAGGATGGTGATGTGGTTGAGGTGAAGAAGGAGAGGGTGGAGAGTGGGGAGGGAAGTGGTGCAGTGGGAGGCGGTGCGGTGGGAGGTGGTTTGGTGAGATTTGGTGGAGTGAGAACAGAAGAGAGAGCAGGAGCAGGATTTGGAGTTGGAGGGGAAAGGGAAGGGGGAGGAGCAGTAGGAGGGGTATGGGGTGCGGAAGAAAGAGGGCTGGGGCGAGGAGTAGGGGAGGGGGATGGGGAGTCGGAAGAGGGGAAGAGGATGAGAGAGGGACGGGGGCAGCCGAATTGGGAACGAAAGGCTTTGATTCTGGGTTTGTTGGTCGGGGCGAGCAAAGGGGTGGGTTTGGTGGTGGTGAGAATGAGCAGAACGGGGGGCTTGGGGATGAGCATGAGCCAAGGGGCAGGTTTGGTGGCGAGAATGATCAAAGGGATAAGTTCGATGAGAGCACTGGAGAGGCAGTGGCGGAGTGGTTGATAGGCACGATGGGGATGCTTGAGAGGAAAGCGAGGAAGATTGTAGAGAGGACAAGGAAGGACGCGAGGCAGGGAGGGTGGGAGCTGGAGAGGTGGGTGGCTGAGGCTGTTGACTTCGCTGCTGCTGCTGAGGTGCATGAGAGGATGGTGGAGGAAGAGGAGGAAGAGGAGGAGCAGAGGGGAGAGGAGCAGAAGCAGGAGGAGGAAGTGGAGGAGGATGAGGAGGAGGAGGGGGGGGGTTATGGTGAGGATGAAGCAGGGAAGTATGGAGAACGATGGGGTCGTGTTGGTGGCGATGGTGCTGGCGTTGGTGGTTTTGGAGTTGGTGGTTTCAGGGGTGGTGCAGGCACTTATTCTGGTGCTGCTGCAGCTGCTGTTCGTAGTAGTGGCCGTGCTGCTGTTGCTGCTGCTAGAGGTGGAAGGGCAGACGGGAGGCCAGGTGCGAGGGCAGAAGGGAGGGGCATGGGAGGCTGGTTGCATGAAGATGAAGACGGGGCATCCAGCTTTGGTGAGTGCTGTTTTTGCTGCCTCCTTCGAGTGCTACCGCTGCCACTGCTGCTGCTGCTGCTGCTGCTGCTGCCGCCGCCGCCGCCGCCGCCGCCGCCGCCGCCGCCGCCGCCACTGCTGCTGCTGCTGCTGCTGCTCATGCCACACTCCCCAGCAACCAGAGCTGCCGCTATAAAACCCATCATTTGGCGCGTAAGAAGTCTTGTCAACATAGAACTGAGGTAAAAGAACTACGTTTGAGGCGCCTAAAATGTGACTTTTGAGTCGACTCAAAAGTCACCTCGTTACAATGGCAGAAGAAGTCTTGTCAACATAAAACTGAGGTAAAAGAACTACGTTTGAGGCGCCTAAAATGTCAGCTCATGCCACGCTCCGCAGCAGCCAGAGCTATCGCATTCAGAACCATTGTTTGGGCCAGGAGTGGGGAGGTGTTGGGGGAGGAGGTGATTGAGTTCTTATTCCTGCCTTCTCTGTCCCTATGCTTTCCATTTCCTTGCCCTGCTTCCCTTCGCTTCTCCGGTGCCTTGTTATCAACCCCAGCTTAGGTTTCTCTGCTGTCTCTTGTGCCCTTCCACACTCCCCAGCAGTGAAACCCACCACCTCCCTCCACTCTTCTTCCCTCTTCTCATCCCCTCTTCTCATCCCCTCTTCTCATCCCCTCTTCTCATCCCCTCTTCTTCCCTCTTCTCATCCCCTCTTCTCATCCCCTCTTCTTCCCTCTTCTCATCCCCTCTTCTTCCCTCTTCTCATCCCCTCTTCTCATCCACTCTTCTTCCCTCTTCTCATCCCTCTTCTTCCCTCTTCTCATCCCTCTCTTCCCTCTTCTCATCCCCTCTTCTCATCCCCTCTTCTCATCCCCTCTTCTCATCCCCTCATCCTCCCTCTTCTCATCCCCTCTTCCTCCCTCTTCTCATCCCCTCTTCTCATCCCCTCTTCTCATCCCCTCTTCTTCCCTCTTCTCATCCCCTCTTCTCATCCCCTCTTCTTCCCTCTTCTCATCCCCTCTTCTCATCCCCTCTTCTTCCCTCTTCTCATCCCCTCTTCTCATCCCCTCTTCCTCCCTCTTCTCATCCCCTCTTCTTCCCTCTTCTCATCCCCTCTTCTTCCCTCTTCTCATCCCCTCTTCTCACCCCCTTTCTTCCCTCTTCTCATCCCCTCTTCTCATCCCCTCTTCCTCCCTCTTCTCATCCCCTCTTCTCATCCCCTCTTCTTCCCTCTTCTCATCTTCTCTCCCTCCCCCTTCTCATCCCCTCTTTCCCTGGTCCCTTCTTCTTTCCCCTGTTCCCTTCCCTTTCCCCCTTTCCCCTTGTCACCATTCCCAGGCTTAGGTGGTTCGGGTCTCACCCGTCCACCCACCACCTCTGCTGTCTCCCGCGCCCTGCCGCACTCCTCCCCAGTACCCAGAGCAGCATCAGTTTACTGCCTAGTGGTAAAAAAGAAGGGGAAGACGGGGGAGTTTGTCGTTTTCACTTTTCCCTGCCTTGCATTTTCCCTGTTCCCTTCCCTTTCAACCCCAGGCTTAGGTGGGTCATTCGGGTCTCACCCGTCCACCCACCACCTCTGCTCTCCCATCCGTGCCCCGCCACTCTCCCCAGCACCCAGACCAGAGCTGCCGTTTCCTCTCTAGTGGGTGGGAAGGAGGAGGGGTACTTGTGAAGTGGACGCTTTTAAATTCTCCCCGCCTTGTGTTTCCTCTGTTCCCTTCCCTTTCCATGCTTCCCCTTAACCGCCCCAGGCTTGGGTGGTTCGGGACTTACCCGTCCACCCACCACCTCTGCTGTCTCCCGCGCTCCACCTCACTCCCCAGCACCCAGAGCTGCTGCCTTTAGACCCAGCGGTCAGGCTGGGCCCAGCAGGGTTGGATGCGGTGATGAGCGGTTTGGGAACAACACGGCTAGAGGTGGTGGTGACGGGTGGGGCAGTGGGGTGGGATGCGGTGGTGAGCGGTGGGGGAAGAACATGGCTAAAGGTGGTGGCAAGGGGTGGGGAAGCGGGGTTGGATGCGGTGGTGAGCGGTGGGAGAACAATTCAGCCAAGGGTGGCGGTATGGGGGCGGTGGGGGCAGGGGGGTTTGGAAAGGGAGGGGTAGAGCGACAGCTTGCTCGGATGCTGACTCAGCGTGACAGCGTGGCAGGGGGTGTGAAGGAGGAGGGGTGGGAGGGAGGAGGTTGGGGTGGAGTGGGAGGAGGGAGAGGGTTCGGAGGAGGGGGGGTGAGAGGAGGGAGAGGAGAGGGGATAAAGGGTGGTGGGGATGGTGGGTACGGAAAGGGAGTAGGGAAGTGCAAAGAGGAGGAGGGGAACTGGTGGGATGAGGAGGAAGATGAGGAAGAGGAGGAAGGAGGAGGGGAGTGGAATGGTGGTATTGGTGGTGGTGGTGGTGCTGCTGCTGGTGGTGTGGGTGCGGGTGATGGCAATTGGTGGGATGATGAGCAGGAGGAGGAGGAGGAGGAGGGTGAGGATGACTATGGGGTTGGTGCTGTGGGTGGTGTTGGGGGTGTGGGTGCTGCAGGTGCTGTGCGTGGCGTTGGTGGTGTGAGTGGTGTTGGCGGTGTTGGTGCTGTGAGTGGTGTGACCGGGGCAGCAGCTGGTCAGAAGCGCAGGGCGAGTGGTGGAAGGGGCAATGCTTCCAAGGCGAGTAATTCACTTTCTAGCGTTCTCAAGATTTGAAGGGGCAATGCAGGTGTTGCAGGTTGTGTTGGTGATAGTGGTGTGAGTGGGGCAGCTACTGGTTAGAAGCGCAGGGCGAGTGGTGCAATGCAAGGGGCAATGCTTCCAAGGCAAGTAACTCACTTTTTAGCGTTGTCGCAGGTGGAAGGGTAAACCTTCCACTCATCTCGTCTTCCACCATTCCCCTTTCCCTCCCTCCCTCCTTCCCTCCCTCCCTCCCTCCCTCCCTCCCTCCCTCCCTCCCTCCCTCCCTCCCTCCCTCCCTCCCTCCCTCCCTCCCTCCCTCCCTCCCTCCCTCCCTCCCTCCCTCCCTCCCTCCCTCCCTCCCTCCCTCCCTCCCTCTCTCCCTCCCTCCCTCCCTCCCTCCCTCCCTCCCTCCCGCCCATCCCGCCACGCCCGAAACGCTCGTCAAATTCGATTCTAACAGTTTCTGCACTCCTCCCTCCCCCCCTCCCTCCCAACCACAGAAGCGAAACCTTCCGCCTGCGCCCAACCTCGTGCATTCATCCCGAGGCATGCAAGCCATCAACCCCGCCCATCTCGCCACACCCGAAACGCCCTTCCGCTGCAACCACAACAACTTCAAGCGCATGTGCGGCTTCGGAGGAATTCCCGGCATCATGCCGTACCAGCGAAACCCTGCTGACCTAAAGCTCGCCCCCAAGAGTGTGATGATATATGTGGAGAATATCAGGGACGCGGAGTGGGGCTACATGTCCAACCACCTCTTCTCGCTGCCGGTGGAGTTTGTGGATAGCGCTCACCTGGGGGTGTGCAGCAGGAAGCGAGGGTAAGTGCAGCCCGTTTGTGTGGGTAGGTAAGTGTGTGCGCGTGTTGGATGTGCTGTTTTCGCGGAGTGGGGAAGCATGTCCAACCACCTCTTCTCGCTGCCGGTGGAGTTTGTGGATAGCGCTCACCTCGGGGTGTGCAGCAGGAAGCGAGGGTAAGTGCCTACCTATTGAAGCACGCCCCCAAGAGTGTGATGATTTACGTGGAGAATATCAGGGACGCGGAGTGGGGTTATATGTCCAACCAGCTGTTTTCTCTCCCGGTGGAGTTTGTCGACAGTGCCCACCTCGGCGTGTGCCACAGGAAGAGAGGGTGAGTGTGGGGTGAGTGTGGAGTGAGTGTGGAGTGAGTGTCGAGTGAGTGTCGAGTGAGTGTGTGTGCTGTGTGTCTGTGGTGCATAGATGCATGTGACTTTCCGGATAGTGCTCATCTGGGTGTGTGCCATAGGAAGAGAGGGTGAGTGCCGTGCAGTCCGAATGTGCGTATGTGTGATGATATATGTGTGATGATATATGTGTGATGATATATGTGTGATGATATATGTGTGATGATATATGTGTGATGATATATGTGTGATGATATATGTGTGATGATATATGTGTGATGATATATGTGTGATGATATATGTGTGATGATATATGTGCGATGATATATGTGTAATGATATATGTGGAGAACATGGTGCATAGATGCATGTGAGTTTGTGGATAGTGCTCATCTGGGCGTGTGCCACAGGAAGAGGGGGTGAGTTCAGGTTGAGTGTTTCTTTGTGTAACGAGTGCAGGTTGAGTGTGTCTTTGTGTAACTAGTGCAGGTTGAGTTTATGGCACACAAGCTCTCTCCCACATGAACTTTATCCCATTATCACTCAGTAATTTCAATCCTTCGATTCTCCATTACATTCACGTTTCAGATCGCGTTCACATCAAGGCCTCCCATGAGAATCTATCTGATGCACTAACGTTCACAGCCACAGTCAGGCTCTTTCCTATCAACCCCTGGTTGTTTGTGTCTCCCAACTTCCACCCACTTGCCTGACCACTCATCTCCTCTTATCCACCCACCCACCCACTAACCCTAATCTCCTCTTTCCTCCTATTCCAACCCCCTCAACAAAACAGGTACATGCACAACTTACCCACACGAAGTCGGTGGCTGCCCAACCACGTGTTAAACTGCCCGAAAACAATTTCCGAGGCGTTTCCCCTCATAGCGCGGTTTTGGCCAAACTGGGACAAGCGGGAAAAGCTGAATGTGATCAACACGCAGGCGTTTGGGGTGGATGTGAGGTTGCAGGAGTGGAACGATAAGCTGCAGATGCACGGTGCATATGGGCTTCCCCCGGAGACACAAACAGAGCTGCTGAAATACATCAAGAAGTGAGTTGATGGGGGAGGGTGGGAAGAGGAGGGAGAGGTGTGCTCTGAGTCGACTCAAACCACACCCACTGTGCATGGGCTTTCCAGGGACACAAACACAGCTGCTGAAATACATCAAGAAGTGAGTAGATGGGGGTGGGTGGGAAGGGAAAGGGGAGGGTTTGAGGCTTCAGGAGTGGAATGATAAGAGGCAGATGCACGGTGCGGAAGGGCTTCCCCCGGTGACAGAACGAGAGCTGCTGAAATACATCAGGAAGTGAGTTACTACTTTGAGAAGGTGTGATAGAAAGAGGGGGAGGAGGTGATAGGAAGAGGGTTGGAGTGAGGGAGGGGTGGGAGAAGGGGGAGACAGCAGTGTATGCGGAATGGTTTGGAATGGAGTCATGTGGAGTGGGGAGGAATGGAGTGGGGTGGAGTGGGGTGGAGTGGTGTTCATATGGGGTGTGGAGGCAGAAGGTACCCTGCTTTGGACCTGAGAGTTATGGCATGTCAATAACTCTCATTTATTGTTTTGCTTTCATTGACAGTCTCGTGCTGCATTTTTGGCATGGCGTCTGTCCCTTGTCGAAATCTGTTTCTTGAAAGCAACCGACTCGCTCCTCTGCGGTTGGAGAACTGATGGGTACCAAGGCAAGTAGATGTCTCCAACTCTGAATCTTGTGCAATCCCGTGCCTCTTTCTAATGCCCCTCTTTCGAATGCCCTCTCGAACCAATCAGGTACAATCTGCTGTGGATTGAGCGCAACCGGCTCGCTCCGCTGGAGGTGAAGCAGCTGGAGATGCTGATGGGATTCCCGGAGGGGCATGTGAGCGTGGTCACCAACAACAAGACTAGCAGATACAAGATGCTCGGTAAGAGGGTGACCTCTGAGTCCACCCAATAATCCATAGGAGCATGTGATGGGATACCCAGAGGGGCATGTCAGCGTGGTCACGAACAACAAAACCAGCAGATATAAGATGCTCGGTAAGAATAACAATGGATAATCCATTGCGTTCTCACAGTAACTGTCCTCTCGTTCTCATTATTCTTCTCGTTTTTTCCCTTGCTGCTTCTTTCTCTCTACATCCCTCCTCCCTTATCACTCAAACGCGAATCATGCTCCCAACCCATCCCCCGTTCCCCTATGCAACCCACCCAACGCGTAGTCCTCCACCACCTCTGCAAGACTTTCTGAGCTGTCGCAAAAGTTGCAACCCATCCCCACACTCCCCATCCCCCTTTGTTGTAGGTTGTTTTTGAAAATTCTCAAAACAACTCCCCATCCCCCGGTTTCACTCCTCCATCCCCCACCCCCCAGGCAACACCTTTCACGTGCCCACCGTCGCTCTCCACCTCTCAGTCCTGCGTCTCCTCAACCGGCCAATCCGCGTGCTCTCTCTCTTCTCAGGCATCGGCGGTGCGCTAGTGGCACTCCACAAGGTGAAGGTCCCTGTGATCTGCGCTGTGAGCGTGGAGTCTGAGAAAAGCTGCCGCGATGCCGAGGGGAGGTGGTGGAGGGAAACCGCAATGGCAGAGGAGGCGGTGGAGAGGGGTGGGAATGGGTCCAACAAGATGCTGGGGGAGTTACTGCAGGTGTATCACAATGTGAGGGATTTGAGCAGAGAGGTAGTGGAATCGTTGGTGCGTAAATTTGGACCGTTTGATCTGATCATCGGAGGGAGCCCGTGTACTAATTTCACTGGTAACAACCGGCAACCTGCGGACAGCCCTGCTGGGAGAAGCGGGCTTGATGGGAGGGACTCGAGCCTTTTTTTTCTCATGGCTGAAGTGATTCGCCAGGTTGCGAGCATTCAGGAGAGCCTTGGTCACAGGGTTTTTCTTGCAGGATAGGCTAACAGCAAGCCCTCTAACCTTGGACAATGTTGTTCAGGCTTTACCTGGGAGGGTTTTTTAGGAGCTGCTTTTCTCCTTCCTGTACCTAGGCTGATAATTTATCAGCCTTCTTATCTGCTGATGCTGATTATAATTCATGCAAGGGTGTTTTGTCTATCCGCACTATCAGCCTCTTTTTCTAAGTGTTCATTGATTGTTGTACCACCAGCCTGCAACAAAGGTGAACGTTGGATAGGGGATTGACTCCGAGTCCCAGCCCCAACTCTCACGTCCAGCCCCTAAGTACAAACAAGACATTACGCACCAAGGTTATTACGTTGTTGAGTACACAAGAAACGCGTACATCGACCCCACATCCGTAACTGGCGAAATGCCGAAATGTTGCGTACGCTTCGTGAAACACCCGTGTCCCACACTCCAGGGTTTTCGCGATTGGCCGCCATTCGCAAAGCCAGCCCCAGCACTTTCCTTCCCTCCCTGATCTGTCTTTTCTCTTCTTCCTGGCAGCTCCTCCGTCCTGCCGTGTTTTTCTGCTCCCTGTTCTGACCTTCTCCTCCACTGTTCCATGTCGGGACTCGGGTCGAGTCGGGTGGTTTTATATCCCATGTCTGCTCTGCTCTTCTAAGTAGAAATAGCGTTACGCGACATAGCCACTGCCGGGTGCTGCGCACGTTCGTCGTGCCACGCTCGGCAGCAAGTGGCGACGAGTGACCGGCAGAAACACGGCGAATAGAGGACGTGAATGGGAGAGCGTTTTGCCAGCAACTGCCACGTGAGAGTTTTTTTTTCTTCTCGTTTGATCCGCCCCGCCAGCCCTCCATACCGTCGGACTGCCGAGCGAGACCAAGCCGAACCGGACTCATTCGAACCGCGACGCATTGTCACGTAGAAATTCCACGATGAGCGTTGCGCAGCCACGGCAGCGATGGCTGCAGCTACTCGCAACCGCGCGTCTGACCGTTACTATCCGCCGAGCAATCCGTTACTACTGCTTGTCTGATTGGCGCCGCCGCGCTTCGGGCATTGCAGGGTCGTGGTTGCTGGTACTAATGTATTTAGCATGTCCGGCCGTGGCAATAGCTTCTATCATCGTGGCCCCTTCTATCAGCACAATATCTTTTCCAGCACCTTCGAGCGCCTGTAGTAAACAAAAGCTACATTGAGTGATGTGGTAAACAAGTGTTATTGATTTGCTCCGCCTCTCGACGACATTACATTCGCGATTCGGCGACATTGCATTCGCCATCATGGCGGCGACATTCGCTCCCCCAATTCGCCATCACTCTCCTGCTCTTCGCCTCGCGCTCCTCCTGCTTCTCGTCTCCGGCGGCGCGCTTCGACCGGCCGAATCTGGGTCGATCGCCAGAGAATCAGATCCAGCCGGCCCGAAGAAGCGCGTGTCCCTCACGCGCCCCGCGCACGCACAGCTGATGCAGCGCCGACAGCAGCAGCAGCAGCAGCAGCAGCCGCGACGGCACCAGCAGCATTACCGCTACCAGCCCGCCTCCACCTCCGTCCTTCGCGGCGGCTTCGGCAGCGGCGTGACCGTTTCAGCCGTCGGTTTCCCCGTAGTTCGTTCCTCCGCCGCTGCCGCCACCTCTGCCATCACCCCGGCCGCCAGCGCGCCGCCAATCAAGTACCACGGAGGGCCGGTGATCGTGGGAAATCCGACGGTGAACATTTACCACATCTACTACGGCAGCTGGGGATCGGGGTCGGGCAAGGAGATAATTGACGCGTTCGTGCAGGCGCTGAGCAGTGACTCGGGCAGCCAGGGCGGCACGGGGGACGCGAGTGTGAAGGGATGGTGGGCCATAAGTACTGCTTATTACCAGACGGGTTCTGGCGGGAAGAAGAATGTGAGCTCCAAGGTGAGAGAGGGAGGTTGAGGAGCAAGTTACTCGTTTCTGCTGCTATTCATCTTGGAGTTTGCTATCCGCCTGTGTCCTCATTCATACCTTCATCCATGCTCCGCTACCGCCCACTATCTTCTTGACTGCAGGTTCGCCTCGCGGGAACAGTGATTGACAACTATTCACGCGGAAAGCAGCTGACAGACGACGACGTGCTTGCCAGTACGTGCTGCTCCCTCCCGACCATTCATTCATTTTCGAGTCGACTTAAGAATTCAGCTCTCGTTCTGTTTTGAGCCGACTTGAAAGCAGCTGACGGACGACGACGTGCTCGCCAGTACGTGCTGCTGTGAACCTAAACCACTCATTCCATTTTGAGCCGACTCAGAAGTCTGCTCTCATTTTGTTTTGAGCCGACTTAAAGCAGCTGAGGGATGACAACGTGCTTGCCAGTACGTGCTGCTCCCTCCTGACCACCCGTTCCTTTTCGAGTCGACTCAAAATCTCTCTGCTCTCGTTCTGTTGACTTCCACCCCTGTGTGCACCACTCATTCTCTGCTTGCATCCATTCCTTATCAATTCCCTCCCCCCCCCCCCCCCCCCCCCACCCCTCCCCAACCGTTCACTCGCCCTGTGCCACTCATGCAGTTGTGAAGAGCAAGGTCGGTGTGGGCAAGCCCTTTGTGCTGGACCCCCACGGCATCTACGTGCTGCTCACCAGTGCCGATGTCACGCTCTCAGGCTTCTGCTCAGAGTACTGTGGCTGGCACACTGAAGACTCTATCAACTCCTCCCCTCTGCGCTACGCCTTTGTGGGGCACCACGGGCAGTGCCCCGACGCGTGCGGGGTAGAGAGCACGTCACCCAACGGGAAGCCGGGTATTGATGCTACTATCTCCACGCTCGCGCATGAGCTTACCGAAGCTGCCACCGACCCGGATGCGACTGCGGGGTGGTTTGACGACGACGGCGAGGAGAACGCAGACAAGTGCTCGTGGGAGTATGGCAATACTAAGACCGGATCCCTGCAGAACGGGCAGAGCTACGAGTACAACTTGGTGGGGCTGAATGGGATGAGGTTTCTTGTGCAGCTCAACTGGGACCGTGTGAAAAGCAAGTGCGTCCTGCAAAACGCCCTGCCCAGTGATGTTGGTAGTGGGGGGGGCACTCCCTCCCCACCTCCGCCGACTGGAGGCAGCGTGAAGATGAGGTGCGATTGCATCTGTGCTAGTGCCAGCAACCCCATGAGCTGCCAGTGCTCCTGCACCAAGACGGGGTGATTTGTGGAGAGAACGACCAGTGTTGTGTAAAGGTGGGTGCTGCTGCACCAGGGACATCAGGATTCAGGAGCGCCTCACGGCTGCTTGATTTGGAATGCAGTTGTCCCCTGTGACAGTGACAACTTTGGTAATACTGAATGGGTTCTGCCCCTACATCTTTGCAATGTTTCTTGTGTTTCTTTTCACAGATGGTTATGGTGTATTGGTTGTGTTACTGGCACTAATGTTAACAAGTGATTAATATAGCTGTGTAGGAATAGTATGCCAACACATCAATACGGCACACGGTCTCATCGTTACTGGTACATTACATGATACAACTGCTTGCACAACAAAAAGTTACACAGCCACGTTGTCATCCGCTATTCTTCTGAAGCTGCCTCAGCAGCAGACTCGACGCGTACCACAGGCTTACTGTCACCAGGTGACTTAATGGTCATCAGAGGAACAGACTCGATGTCAGATGGAGTGCTCTTCTTTGGCTGCGTTTGGGTAACTGATTGCTGGTATAACACTCCACCGAATATGCACACTAGGAGAGCCACCAATCCTGGCGCTTGGGCATGCTTGTCCCATATCAGTATGTTAATGAGGACTGTGAGAAGCTTATTTGTGACTCCAACAACTGTGTAAGCAGTCGCTGAGACTGCCTTCCGTGCAGCAAAGCCGAAGAAGCTTATGGTTAGGCCGAAAACACAGGAGAGTGCAACAGGGAAGAGAGTCCCTATGCTGCATATCCGGGACAGACCATAGGCAGCAATTTGACTTGGCTCATTCATGCCAATCAGCGCAGGAGGGAAGAATATCTGCACAACGTATCAGAGGAGAGTATTAGCAAGGATGCCCACTTTCACGATTGCGGTGCATCAGAGTCTTACCAGGGCTAGCATATTGTTGTAAAGCACCAGACCCCATGTATTGAGCCCTATGCTCATAACCACTGACTTGATGTAGACCATCTGCACCAAAAGCTCGATAAAAAACAAGGCAACGCAATGCCATTGCGTAATGAAAGCAGAGCGGAGACATACTCACCTCGAAGGTAATGACGATCAGATATGCCCAAGCCCACGCGTACGCTGTTACGGTGAATCCAGTGTCAAAGAAGACGTAGCCAACAGCGCCACCAAATATCGTCAGCAATGAAAAAAATGTGAAGCCAGATGGCCATGATCTTCCCATGAACACTGAGTCTGCTATCGCAACAAGCAGCGGTGTGGAAGATCTGAATACAATAAATGTCTCGACGTTGGCATGTTTGAGGAGCTGAGTATTTGTCCATATGGCAATGTAAAACGTCGCTGCTGCAGGTAAGAACTTGATAATCTTCTCCAGGCTCAGAGAATCATGTTCCAACACCTTCAATCTTCCCAGCACGAGCGTAACAATGGTGCACACTAGGTACTGAAGCGCGGTGAGGATTGCTGGGAAGGGGAAAACAGTCACTGCATACTGGAAACGGAATATTGGTCAGACGCTTTTCAGAGAGCAATAAGAGGTGCTGGAATCATTCGGGAGGCATACCTTGTTAACAATGGCCAGCAAACTGGAACTTAGCGCGTAACCGATGACAACCCAAACTACTCGAAGCTTTTCTAATGACGACTGATGTTCAGGAACCTGCGGAATTGCGACTTCCTTGGATCTTGCTTCGGCCATCATCTCACCCACCAATGAAACCAAGCTTTCTTCGAAACAAGCTGAATGAGATGTTGAAGCCCAACCCGCTGAATACGGTACTTCACCTATGAAATGGCTTCGTGAATGTGGATGTGTCCTGAAGTCCTTATCAATAACCTGAATTCGTAATCAAGCCCTTGAGCTGTTAGCAATGGCAGAAACTAGTTGTGCGTGAAGCCCTTGGGATTCAAATCCCGATGCCCAGCCCAACCCCAAGGGAAGCCCTCAACATTTCTCTACCGCAGGACGCGCTGTGCCCTCGTTATTACCGGCCTCCTTTGAGAGACACTGCTCCCAGAAAAAGCTTGTGTACTTCTCATGTTTTTTTATAGCAACTTCACTCATGATACAACCACGTACATGATTAACTAACCAGAATGAACGAGAATAATAGGAAACGAAAAAAAAAAGGTCTGCACTGCATGCGTTCTCTGGGTCGTGCTTAAGACTTGATTCTCACTGTGAACGAGCCTGACAAGGGCAGAAAGGCATGTGGAAAAAAAAGGGGGGTTCAGAAACTTGCAAGTCAACTTCTTGAAACCTATAATCCACATTGGCATCCACAACAATTAACACACACCATGGAGTCACATCACACCCATTACACACCTCACTCACACCCTTGAACATCCAGATCACTTCATCAGAGTGTCAGAAACGCTATTGCACTTACACCCAGGAAGTGTAGTGACTTCCGCAGAGACTGTGCATGGTACTCCAAGGTTGGTAAGCGCCCCCTTGATGAGTCCACACGGCAGATACAGAAACTGCCCTGCAACAGCAGACGCCTTCATGCTGCCTGCCACAGCCCCTCCAGCTCCTGCCATGCGCTCCGTCGGCGATCGAAGGTTGGGACTAGGGTTTGGAAGAGGCGTTAATGCGTCATATGATGGAGCATCTGCTGATATTCTCGTGAGCCACCTGAACTTGTTGTCTTGCAGAACGAATACTCCCTGGAAGGGTAACGAAAGGTCGCAAGAGAAAGGGGGATAGGTTAAGCTTGGACCAGGCACATGCAAAGAAAATAGGCAAAGAGTAGCAAGCCCGAGAATACCACAGGATAGAGGAAAATTGATGGGAGTAAAGTTTCATTTATGGCTGACACGGGGGCATTCATCAGATTCCTCGGCCCCTCAGCAAGACAGCAACAAGAACTGCTAAACATGCGTTGCATTGCACGCATAACGTTTGTATGCGGTGACTCTGCCTGAGACTCTGCCTGTGCCTCATACCCTGTACCAAGTATGCACTGCTGTGGGCTGACTGTGCAGAGGGCAGACTGAGTCTTATGACCTGAGCTGACTGTGTTTGCAATCTAGATCGACTATGCTTTCTGCACAGGATCAGAAGTGCATTTTACCTGCAGTGCTGGTGTCTTACGACAAGTGCAACTTCGCACTGTTCCCGTAATGTTTGTGCTGCTCTCTCCGTTACTGTCCACCTAATGTCTTGAACCTCACTACCCAACTATCCTGTCTGTCCCTGTATCGGCTAAAGCTCGCAACCTCTGCCAGAAATGCCTTGCTGCTGCTGACCATGCGCCTTGTTCTCACTCTGTGGTTGGTCTTGAGGTTGTCCACTTGCTTCTTGAACACCTCGGCCCAAAAGTCCTTGCAGATGAACTTTATCACATCCAAGTGATCTGTGAATCGGGCTCTGTCCTTGGTGAACCTGGGATAAGGGCGGGATGCAGTCGACAACAGTTGAGAAGGACCAGGGGGAGGACGTCAAATATACTGAAAGGCTGTTGTAGATGAACCATTTGGATCAACATGACCGCTTTCTAACTCTATCAGCCTTGTGCATAATACCTAACATTCCATATACTTGACCATTCATCAATAACTGCACAGCTCCAGGTAAATCTGAAAGGTGATATACTGTCGGAAGGAAACGCGGGGAGCACAGCCAACCCCCGCGCAGCATGCTCATTACTGGCCTCTACTCTGGGCCTTCCTCTCTCTGTGACAGATGGCCACTTTTTACCGATAAGTCCGTATCCCTCATAATCGTATTGCATCAGCGATATTACACGCCTAGGTTTCGCGGCTCAACCTCCTTCACAGAATGATTTGAGGCACCTACCTTTCGACCAGCTGTTGACCCACTTGAAAGCCAATTGCCTCAATTCGACGACCAGCGAGCTCTGGTCGCAAGTTGGACTGCCGCGCGTACGTCGCCACGAGCTCAATGTTGAGAAAATCTAGGCAGCTCTCCGCAATCTCCCGCGAGCGTGGAACAAGTGCCATAGATCACCAGGAAAAGCAGGCAAGTATCTCCAACAGAGCGTTCTCAAATGCCTTTAAACTTGGCCTAAACTGGAGAAAATGAACAAACCAGTTGTCGGCTGCGGAAACTTGTGCTGGTGCGTGGCATAAAGGCGTGGAACTTCCAATTCAGAACCCCCAATGTCGAACGGCGTGCCAAATTCCCAAATTCGGACGGCGTCTAAATACGACATGATGCGACTGGAAGAAAATTACCGACGTCGTCGTATTTCGTCGTACACACATTTCGCGAAGGGAAGCGTTCCCATTAGAATTTGGGAAGCATATTCGGATATGCTATGCTTTTGTGCCCCGTTCGAACGGGTCCCGTTCGCCGACGTTCGAGCAGCAGTTCCAACCTCATCCCGAATTTTCAGATTCCACGCCCTAATCCCGAGGTTTGCACGATGTTTAGCGTGGCCGATTCAATTGCAAACCCTTCCACTTGTAACGACCTGCTTTTAACGCATCAACCAGAAACAAAACACCGATCTTTACCTCATTTTCAACATCGCTCGTTCAACCCGTCTCCGCTCTTGTTCCTGCTGATCCAGAAGGCCCAACCATGGCAGATCATCTTGTTGTAGTCGGATTAGCTCCTATGGCGTTCGATAACTTGAAGAGGCTGCAAGTGAAGCTGAAAGGGGAGGAGGGTGACGATGAGGGACGAAAACAAGGAGGTCCTCAAGCACGAGCAATGAAAGAACGAATTCAGAATCTGCTCGGACCCGACGTTGCCCTCGAGATTGTTGAAGACTCACTACTGGATGTGATATGCACCGTACGCAACGGAACATTCGCATGTCGACCTATTTCAATCCAATTTCTTTACATGCGGACTAATACCTGTTTCAGGATTCGATGAAGAAGACCATCAAGAAGGCTTTGAAGAAAGAAAAAAAGTCAATGAATGTGAGTTTTGGGGGGAAAACCTGTTGGTCTCCGAGTTCCACAGCGTCAAATTCACCCTTTCATGGTAGCAGATATCACTGAATAAGAAGGTCGACGATGTTGTGGACCACGAGGTCCTTCGGAGCTGCTTGGAAAAGCTCTGCGAGGACTCCCTAATCGGCAAAGGTTGGTCAGCTTGCAATAATGGCTTGTATTTGCGGTCGAATCTCGGTTGTGGCGACGATAATACGCCCGCGCACTCCGTCAGACTGGTGAGCTACGTTCATTCAGAGTTGTGTCACTCTGGTTGAATAAAGCTGATAAGGTCGCGTTGTAGAGCATGCACTTGGAGACGCCAAACAAGATTGTCTTGGTCCTACGGCTGGACGTCATCAAATTCCGTCGCATGAAGGTTTGTGAACTGCATGCAAGTTGCCAACTACTCATCGGTTTGCTTGCTCATTCATGGAGACACCTACATTGCTGCAGATTATTGAAGTATTGCCAACGGCCTTCAGAGAGAAGTTTTCCCAAGGAAAACCTGTGGATTTAGAGGAGTGGATGGACACCCAACTCGAAGAAACTTCTTCCCAGTTTCGCTGCTTTTGTATCCCAAACCTTGAACATGGCCAAATTATTGGTAAGATGAGCATTTCCATGTTAAATCACACCAGGAGCATTACCTCACAATGTTTCTCGTCACAGGTTGCTCTAAGGACGACTTGGATTCTGGTCCCAACACTGAATCCAGGACCTACTGGCGAAAGGTGCGTCATAATGAGGCATCCTTCTGTATTAGCACCCCTCTCACCCGAAATCACTGTTTGGCAGAAAGGAATCGAGATTGCAGACGACTTTTTCACTGTGACGGTAAAACTAGATCATGGTGAGAGGCTGAGGTACGTTACAACACAGCATTTCATTCAAACATATAGTTTCGTTCGTCCCTAACTTGTTTTGTACAGGCTGCCTTCCACATGTGTCTTCACTGAGGCTGGTTTTATGCCAGTCCCAGGAACAATAAGATCAAGGGAGATGCAATCCATGTTTGTGAGCATTGGAACCGATTTCTCCTTCAGTTTTTTTGGGGCCGGGAATGTGCAATTTAAGGTACGGAAACATTCCAGAGCCACATGCTTCACAGTTTTTATTGTAGCACTTACATGGATTGTAATTTTCAGAACACAGAAGCGGGATTGTTGCCAGTCATGGTCCAAACCACCGCATGGACAACAGCTAAAGGGATTGTTGGACTGTCCTCGGCTGATGCGTTGTCAGCCCGAAGCCTCGCTTTTTCTCGGCCTTCACGTAATAGCTTTGACTGTTTTCACGCTCGTCACGTTTTGTATTCATAGTTGAAGTATTTCTTTTACAGTTTCTGGCTTTCGATGGCCAAAGCCTGCCCTATCCGCGAGCCACCAAAACCTGTCCACAGTGACATTCAAACTGATACGAATGACGACGAGCCAACTGAAGAGAGGCCAGAGTTGGCAAAGAAACCAGAACCCGTGCCAGCTGTTGTCAAGCTATCCATACCCACGTTTACAGCATGGAAGCAACGAGTCAGTTCAGGTTCGTTTCTTCTACTCTGAAAAACATATAGATCTAGATATGTACCCTTTCAACTCTTCCACACCTTCCCTTCCTCTCCACCTTTCAACCACCCACTTTGTGGTTTCTTAAGGCTAGACCATTTGATCCTTTCTTTTCTTTGTTTATCGAACTGTTCGCCTTCTTCAGGGGTATCAGCAAAACTAACGAAATCCTCCACTCTCAACACTAAGGATGCTGCGTTGAAGCAGTCACTTGCCGCTGGTATATTCCCATTGGTTTGTTCTGTTTATATCACGAAATGCGCCCAGCATGATTGCTCTGGAATGCTTGTTTGACAGCCTCCACAAAGGAGAATAAGGAGCCAGCGGTGTCTGCAGCAAAAAACAAGAAGGTGTGGAAAAAAAGTGGATGCGGGTGCGAGTTGGTAGGAGCCTGAGGGCAGTGAGAACAAACGAGAGTGGTTGGGGAACAGAGAGCAAGGAGCCATATTTTTGTCACTTCATAATATCATGAACCTAGTGTCATGTACTTGTATGCTTTTACTTGTGGCAGTTGGATGCTGAGAAGCCACCACCGAAGAAAGCCAAGACATCACAAGCCCCTGGAAAGGTAAGGGTTTGCAAGCAAGTGCTGGAATCCATATGTCCCTCAATTGTGTGTGCTATGCAGGTTTCGGATGCTTCCAATCAATCAAAGACTCCTGGCAAGAAGAAACCAGAGGCAAGGCCTGAAGACGATGACATCTCCACCTTTGTAAGCATTGCAAAATTGTTTTAACAAGGTGCTTGGTGTACGGTACCACTGAATATTCGTGGTTTTTCTTTCAGGTCAAGGATAAGTTTAAAGAAGGGAAGCTGAAGGATATCACTCTTCCAAAGTTGAAAGCATTCATCACCCTGCACAAACTAGGGAAAGTTAGTGGGAAGAAGGATGAGCTCCTCCTGTGTGTTGAGAGGTTTTTAACTTCAATTTAGTAGGCATGGCTATAACACCTGACGAGTTCACAAGGCAAAGCAATGCTGAACCTAATTCTATCTACGAGAGAGACTCACATGATATGACTGGCAGACCTCATGCTGCTGACTGTGACATGACTGGAAAGATTCTCAGCATTACATGTGCCTCCAAATTCAGGTCCGAGGAGAGCGGGCATTGGAAGTAGAGTCGTGGGTGTTACATTAGTTACCTTATTGTAACTTTCAGGGTTTGATCAAACCTTGATGAAGCTTGAAGTGTTTGCTTGCATGCAAGTTTGCCAGTGCTAGAAAACTGTGTACTATGTTCCTCCTGTCCCATCCCATCACCCTTTTCTGGCTAGCATGGGAGTCATCCCGCACAAGCTCATTGGCATATCCAGATTTCAGACCATTGGCAGAACAGGAATTATTACTCCAACCCAGTGCCACAAATAGTACCAGAAACCACAGAGCATTGGCAGCCTGCAACAACCCTGCAACAGCCCTAAACCTGGCAAAAAGGCAGCACAGCTGCCCCAAAATATCTACCACAGCTGAAGCAGGGCGTTGGTCATCACACCAAGGCCTGCTACAAACCATTTGACGAAAACCAACCACCAAGCATCCTTGGGCCCTGGCTTCATTCCCTTGGCAAGGAGGTGAGCGAGGGCAATGAAGATGAACACTCCAGCGGCCATGCCGTTTCCAAACCCCTTGATCCACTCCCTTGCAACCTTGCCACTGGCAGAGTCAAGGGCCAGGCCAATGGCAATGCCAGTGGGAGCAACAACAGAAGCACCTAAGGCATACAGAAAGTGGTTCAGGCCGCTACGGCTGGTGTTCTGTACACGAAGTGTGACACCAAGCGCCATGCCCTCGAAAACCTGCAAGCAAGCAAGAGGGATCGGACAGTTGGTCAACGAAAGCATCATACAGACGACACTATTTATTCGAGTTCAATTTCCGTGGTTCCAGTATGAAAATATCCAATTTTAAGCTTACCTCGTTCACACCAATTTGTGCAGTCATCGACCAAACTTTGGAGACAGTGGATGCAAGTCCAACAGCAACGCCCTCGAAGAAAGCGTGGAAGCAGAGGCCGAAGAGGACGAGGATGACGTCTACAATGGTAAGTGCCTGAATGTCAATCTTGGCCACAGCAGCCTCAGCATCTGCGTCAACCACCTTCTTCTCTCCGACGCCCATTGCACCAGCAATTGTGGGTCCCAGTTCGTCCTCCTGAGAGACAAACGAGCTTGATTGTTCATGAAGGGGTCGGGAATTCAAGAAATGCAAGCGTGCAGCCACTGAATTTTGTGTGGAGGAATGCAGTAAACGTAATGTACGCTTACCTTCTCTTCCAGAGAACCCGTGCGCTTAATCCACACGGATTTGACAATAAGATCGCACAACCATGTGAGGTAGATGCCCATCACAATGACAAGCATACCATACGGATAATCTGAAACAGTCAAGAACGAGGTGCTTCTTTAGTTATGAGCCCCTCGTGAGAAGTGATTGACCACTCAGCAGAAATGTGTGTGAGAGGAAAAAGTAAAGGTCGTGGGGTGCACATACTCAGCAGAAATGTGTGTAAGAGCAAAAGGAAAAGGTCGTGGGGTGCACATACTCAGCAGAAACGTGTGTGAGAGGAAAAAGATAAGGTAGTGGGGTGCACATACCGTCTCCTGCCAGCTCCTCAAACTCCTCAAATGTCTCCACAGCGAGGTAGAGGAGAGACATGCCGATGAAGAGGCCAGTGGAGAAGAGAATTCCCAACTTGAGAAAGAGCGGGTGCACAGGGATGAAGTACGGAATCCACACGCCCATGAAACTGCAGGCGAAGAAGACGAAGATGGAGCCGGCCTTGTTGGCATTGAGAGTCTTGGTGTCATCGGGTTGCTGCCAATCAGAAAGATTATACAGAAAGAGAAAGAAAACGCCGGAATGAGAGTGGAAACCTGGAGTTAGCGTGTTCCGTCAGTAACATTGCGTGAACATTATCAAACTGAAAATATAAGTAACATCACTTACGACGTCGGGTTCTTCTTCTGATTCTGTGGCAAATGCGATGGAAACTAAGGCTGCGACGCACACGAGAGCGAGCAGCTGTCTCTTCCAGGAAGCCATGGTGATCGTGTGGGAGACTAAGGGGACTCGCCGTGGAGAGGAATTAAGGGGACTTAGGAAACCTCGAAAGTGGAGCGGATAATGTAGACGAGGTGACGCAAATTTCGGCCTAACAATATACAGATAGGACAAGCTGATTATGAATCTGCAGATTGTTAAGTGACCACTCAAAGAGCGATGCCTTTATATGCATTTGTCCGCCGATAGAGGAGGCTACAAAGGTCCCCATGCTATCGCTCAGGGGGTAAAATCATCGCTCTACCGCGCTCTCTGTGTGTCCCTCCCTCGCTAGAAACCAGGCTAACTTTTGGCCGCAGGGGTAGGCTGTAGGGACGGCTGCATTCGGCGTGGATTACTGCTTCCGAACGCAAGCCTGTAATCCCGATCCGGTGACATGGCATCGTCGCTGGCAAGAAATGGCCACCGTCTCTCCTAGAGCTCGTTAGAAATGGAGAAGAAGCTTGAGGCATCTTATCGCTTGGTAACTCAGAAAACCAACGAGTCACGCTGTAAGAGCGTGGAGGAGGCATGGATCTGGTGTGGATCACTTCATTCATTCACTTGATGGATGGACGATCCGAAAGTTGGCCTAAAGGGAAGGTACTATTGAACTGCCAGCCACGCTAAAAAGCGGCTCCAACCTTCAGCGAGTGGTGATAAAGTCAGAAGTTTGGGATTCAGTAATGTGCGGATCGTTCTTTTCATGACACGACACGACATGGCGTAACGCCGTACGGCTTTGCACCTAGACGGGTTGCACTAGGGTAGGGCAGAACTAGTGTCATCTCTCCCTCCCGCTCTCACGCAGCGAGCACATATAAAGATTCCAAGCTACCAGCTACCGGGGAGAATAGTTGACACCGCAAGATGCGGAGTCACGACATAAAAACGAGGCAACCACGTGTGCAACATGCTTTGTAAGGGGAATACTGGATGTGACAAGGAGCACTGCATATTGCTCTGGTTTGAACAACCATGCTGTAACGCTCCAAATGTAGCTAAGACATATCTCTACCACTAAAAACCTGTTCGAAATGTACAAGAATCGGTCACGTCTCAAATCAAATGTTTCTGGGTCGTTCTTCTGGAGCTCGTCACATAATATCACGCGGTACAGAGCATCTCTGATGTTTTAATTACAGTTTAGATGGGTGGAAAGGAACTGCTCTGCTTGTGGCTGTTGCTGGTGAATGAACTTGTGGTTGCCAAACCGACAGCCACATGGCGGGAAACGAAATGGTAGATCGTAGCACCGCACCAAAAAACCTTCCCTCGTGAGCCGTCCGATCAAGGAATCCTCCATATAAAGTTGGACAGCAGGGTGGGTACAGTACACGTAATGCTATACGCTCTAAACAAAGAAAGACAGCATGAGCCACCTAAAGACACTTGAGAGCTGGTCAGTAAAACAGCTAACATTAAGTCTTTGCTTGCCTTTAACCGCAATTCATTGTGCAAAATACTTCCAACCAGAAAGAAACGACTATACCACTCAAGCATTGCAATACCAACCATATTCTCCCATTCTGTGTTTACTCTGAGCTATCACCATCTAGTTTCTCAAGCCAAGGCAGGATATGGGAGGCAGCTATCTCTGGCCTGTCGTCATGCGGGCAATGACCTACATCTGGGAGCGGTACCACTGCCACCTTGTCATTTCCCCTCTGCTCCTCTAGGCGCTTGAACAGCTGAGCCACCTGGTCAAGCACAGGATAAAGACACAACTCATCATCACCTTAACAACTTGACGTTGTCCAGCTGCTAAAGCTCAAGGTATAATCAAACAATTTGCACATGATCAATGCTCCCCTTTAGAAACACACCTTGCCGTCAATGGGCGTCCAAGGGTCCTTGTCACCCCACAGCACAAGCATGGGCACATCCACCAGCTCCACTAGCTCCTCTGGATGCCGGCCTGTGGTAATGTAAGAGGAGGAGAGGTGAAACAGGAGGGGAAGAAGCGAGGGTAAGACAGTGAGTCAGAAGCACAGCACCAGCAGCACGAGCATGGGCACAGCCACCATCTCCACTAGCTCCTCTGAATGCCGGCCTGTGGTAATGACAGGAGCACAGGAAGGGGAAGACCGGGTGACATGGTGACTTAGTAGCATGGTAACCATAACACGAGCATGGGTACATCCACCATCTCCACTAGCCCTCGGGATGGCGGCCTGTGGTAAGATAGGCAAAAGCAGAGGGAATAAGAGGAGGGCAGCACGATACACAGCACGAGCATGGGTACATCCACCATCTCCACTAGCTCCTCTGGGTGCCGGCCTGCAGACAGGGTAGGAAGCCAGTGGTTGGTGGAGGGGGTAGAGAGGGTGGCATGTTGAAGCAGTCCGGCAGCATGGTACATCCACCATCTTCACCAGCTCCTACGGATGGCGGTGTGGACAGAGTAGAAAAGACAAGAGAAAGTGACAGATGGTAATCCAGAGGCAAGCGAGTGGCAGGAGAGAGGTAAAACAGCAGGGAAGAGAGAGACAGTAGAACGGTGAGGCAGCAACGAGCAGCATCACGCTGATTTGGACCCTCCCAATGCTGACCTGGATCACCGGTGAAAACCTTGACAAAGACGTCTAGAGCACCGTCATGCGTGGATGGCTCGTACAGGATGTCCACCTGGGAAAAAAAAGGGGGGGGGAGGGGGGGAAAGGAAAAAAGAGGGTGTATGATTGAACATGAAATGGACTCATTTCCATGAAAGAAATAAAGAAAGAAAGGGCCAGCACTTACCAGCCGATCGCAGACTTGTGAATTATCTCGGTACACCTGCTCACTGAGTATCTTGCGCACATTGGCCTTGTTGCGGAACCTGCAATAACGAGGACTCGATTGAAAGAGACACGAAAGAGTAGTTATAGACAATAGAATATAGACAAGAGAGACATAGCTTTGATTATATTCCACTGAGATCCAAATCAACTCACACATTGTTCAAAGAGGAACGAAACTGATTCTGGGTTTTTGCGGCAGGCACTCGTCGGCCACACACAAGCATGGGTGACAGTGCTGTCAACAGTGCATTGGTTGAGAGAAGAACATTCTCATTGCAGTGAGAGGATTCCACGCTCTCACTTCCACTCAGTACCACTCCCAAACACTCACCGTTCAAAGAGGAACGAGGCGATTTTGGGTTTCTGCAGCAGGTATTCAATGGCCACAAACATGGGCGACAGTGCTGTCAGCAGTGCATCGTCCCGCATCAGGCCCTTCCTGTTCATTGCTCCTGCCACGTTCAGGAGAACCAGGCCTCTGGAGGGGGTGGAGGAGGAAAAAGAGGAGAGAAAATGTGGAGGGGAGGATGATGGCCGTGACCAGCCAGTGAGCAGTGCATCATCGCGCATCAGCCCCTTCCTGTTCATGGCTCCTGCCGCGTTCAGGAGAACCAGGCCTCTAGTGGGGTGGGAGGGAAGCAGGGGAGAAGTGATAGAAAGCATGATTGCTTGACCAGGACCAGCCAGTCAGCAGTGCATCGTCCTGCATCAGCCCCTTCCTGTTCATGGCTCCAGCCACTTTCAGCAGCACCGGGGACGGAGGACACAAAGCAAAGCAACAAGATTAGCATTTAGAGTTGAAGTGGTGTATCTAGGGGACGCTTAACGAACTTGGCCGGAATGACCTGAGAACTAGGTCACATTCGCTAAGACAGTAAACCTTTTGGTTCTATTTATGACTCAGACCGGGAAAAATCAGTCCAAAATCTCACCTGATCTTCCCCTTCTCTGCTCTCCGCACCATGCTGCCCTCCCCATCACTCTGCCCCTCCCCATCCGAGAGTGAGAGAGGAGCAGCAGAGGAGGCGGCAGCAGTGAGGGAGGTGAGAGAACCGATGGAGTTGCCAATAAGCACAGCAGGCTCGTCCGTGAACTCAAGCATGAAATCTGTATGGGAAGGGAGAGGAGTGGGGCGAAGGAACGGGGGAAGCAGGGTACAGCAGTGAGGCAGCAATGAGGGAGGCGAGAGAGCTGATGGAGTTGCCGATCAGCACAGCAGGCTCGTCCGTGAACTCAAGCATGAAGTCTGCATGGGAGGGAAGAGGGGGAAAGAAGTGCAAGAGGGTCAAAGGAAGAGCAGCAGGGGAGGCGGCAGTAGTGAGGGAGGTGAGAGAGCCGATGGAATTGCCAATCAGCACAACAGGCTCGTCTGTGAACTCAAGCATGAAATCTGTATGAGGGGGGAGACGGGGGGAGAAGGAGAGCGGCGCAGCAGTGAGGGAGGTGAGGGAGCCGATGGAATTTCCAATCAGCACTGCAGGAACGTCTGTAAACTCGAGCATGAAATCTGTAGGTAGGAAGGAATGGATGATGGGGATGAAATGGGAGGTGGACATGGGGGGAGGAGGGAGGGGTAAGAGCAACAGTGAGACAGGTGAAAAGAGGGAGGTGAGGTGAGAGAGGAGAGCGAGAGGAAGGAGCAAGTTGAGGGGTGAGAAAGGAAAGGCAGTGTCAGCATCTTCCGCTGATGACGTCAGCATCTACTGTTGATGACGCCAGCACCTATCGTAGATGATGTCAGCGCCTACCGTTGATGACGTCAGCACCTACCGTTGATGATGTCAGCCCAGAGCTCAGGCCCACACTCGATGCCGCGTGGCTTGTCAGAGTCTCCACTCCAAACCCTAGCAGGTCAACCGCGTACACCTTATGGTGGTCTGCGAGATGATAGCGATCTCAACCTCAACCCAGCCTGTACCACTGATGAATCATGGTCTCAACCGATTTCAGCCCAGCCCCTACTGCTTTTGAAGCCTGCCAACACCTACGCTGATTATGATAGACCCTAACGCTGGTGACGCCAGCACCCACCGTTGATGATGTCAGCCCAGAGCTCGGGCCCATACTCGATGCCGCGGGCTTATCGGAGTCCCCGAACCCTAGCAGGTCCACGGCGTACACCTTATGGTGGTCTGCTGCGAGATGTTGGTGATGATATCAGTGCTCATTATCAAGCCAAGCCCCATAGTATTGGTGTGCTCTCTCTCAGCACCCACCGTTGATGATGTCAGCCCAGAGCTCAGGCCCGTACTCGATGCCGCGTGGCTTGTCAGAGTCGCCAAATCCCAGCAGGTCAACCGCGTACACCTTATGGTGGTCTGCGAGATGTGCTATAAGGTTGCGGAAGTGCCCTGCACTGCCTCCTGTGACAATGGGAGAAAGCAGGACGAGGGGTCCCAAAGGGGGAGGGTAGAGAGGAGGGGGGACAGCGCGGATAAGAAGAACGAAGAGTGTAAGAGGGTTAAGGACAAGTCGATGAAGGGGGTGAGGAACATGTCAGTGAGGGCGCTATATAATCCCGAGCAGGTCGACAGCATACACCTTATGGTGGTCTGCGAGATGGGCTATAAGGTGGCGAAAGTGCCCTGCACTGCGTCCTGTAGTGTTGGAAGGAGGAGCAAGGGGGATTTGGGAAGAAGGGGGTTGGGGAAAAGGGGTGGGAAGGAGAAGCAACTGAAAGTGCTGGCTATTTGAAAGCAGGATCTAAGAGACGCCGTTACAGTGTGGTAAAAAATGGCGCTACCTCCTCATGCACCGCATAAAACAGGCGATGCAGTGTGGGTGGAACTGGATGAGTACGGCCCATGGCCGTGCAAGGTGATCTTTATCAAACAGCCCCAGATCACCTTGCACGACCATAGGCCGTACTCATCCAGATTCGCCCACACTGCATCGCTTATCTTAAGCGGTGCACGACAAGGCAGCGTCATTTTTTGTCCCGCACTGCCTCCAGTGGTGTTGCGAGAGGAGAGGGAGGGGAGGTGGGGTTAGAGGAGGGGACAAGAGGGTGGGAAAGAATTGAGATCAGCAGCATATACCCTATTGGTAGTCTACGAGATGCGCTATAAGGTTGCGAAAATGCCCTTTCTTAGGTGTTGGGAAAAACACGTGAAGGTAAAAAACGTAGAGGATATGTGCAAAGTACATATGTAGTGTAACGATGCACGCATATGTTGTGATACGAGTACATCTAGAGTCATCTCGAAAGGGGGGGGGTCCGAGAGCATACCAAAGCCATGCACGAGAATGACGGGTTTGCCACACCCTGCCACGGCATAGTGAATGCGATGACCCCTGCGGAAGGGTGGAGAACGGTGGGGAAGGGTGGGGAGTGTGGCAATGATGGAGCGAAATGTGTGGATGGGGTAGAGAGATGCACAGGCAGCAGACTTTGACGGGTTTGCCACACCCTGCCACAGCATAGTGAATGTGGTGACCCCTGATGGAGAGGCGACGGGTTGGAACGAGAGAATTTGACACGAGAATGGGTGGGAGTGAGAGAGAGAAAACGATTTTTGAGTCAACTCAAATCGAATATCAAACCAGAGAGATTGACAGGAGAATGGGTGGGAATGAGAGAGATAAGATACAGGCAGACTACACAAGAGATGGATACCCATCCACTGCGAGTGCAAGCAACAAGCACTTGTCTTTTTGCAAGCACCTTATTCCTGCTCGCTCGCACACCCCCCTTCACATGCACCTCCGCATCCACGAGTGTGATCGGAAAGGGAGAGCCAGCAGCCTCTCTTCCACTCCATGCACTGCAGCGACCAAATCTCTCTCTGACAGCTCCCTCTCCTTCTACTCTTTCATCTCCCATGCACACTCACCTCCACATCCACGAGTGTGATCTGAAAGGGAGTGCTAATAGCCGTTCCTCCACCCTATGCACTGCAACGACCAAGTCCCTCACTGCCACTCCCCTTGTCGCTACCCCCCTTCACACCTCCTGTGTTCTTCTCTTATAGACGCCATTCCACTCACTTCCACATCCACGAGTGTGACAAACCGGGAGAGCCAACAGCCTTTCTTCCACCCCGTGCACAGCAGCAACCAAATCCCTCACCGCCACTCCGCTCTCCGCCTCCACCACCACCCTTAGGCTTGTAATGTGGACGTTTCACTCACCTCCAAATCCACGAGTGTGATCTAAACGGGAGTGCCAATAGCCGTTCCTCCACCCCATGCACAGCAGCGACCAGGTCCCTCACTGCCACCCCCCTCTCTGCCTCCACCACCACCCCCACCCGCCTACCTGCCTGACTGCCACCACCACCATCTGTGATTCTCCACTCTCCTCCCCCTCTTTCAATTTGTAGAATGAATTAAAAAAAAAAGGCCCACTGCTTCACTCACCTCCACATCCTCGAGTGTGATCTAAATGGGAGTGCCAGCAATCTCTCTTCCACCAATGCACAGCAGCAACAAGGTTCCTCACTACCACCCCCCTCTCCGCCTCCACCACCACGCCCGCCCACCTGCAGCATCAAAAGCACTCACCTCCACATCCACGAGTGTGACCGAAATGGGAGTGCCAATAGCCGTTCCTCCACCCCATGCACAGCAGCAACAAGGTCCCTCACTGCCACTCCCCTCTCCGCCTCCACCACCACTCCTCCCACCCCCTTTTTCTGCCTCACCACCTCCCTAATTTCTCCTCTCTTTTTCTTTCGGTCTGTAGCAGTGCTTCACTCACCTCCACATCCACGAGTGTGATCTAAATGGGAGTGCCAATAGCCGTTCCTCCACCCCATGCACAGCAGCGACCAGGTCCCTCACCGCCACTGCCCTCTCCGCCTCCACCACCACCCCCACCTTCCCGCCTCTCAGCCCGCCCGTGCGCAGGGTGGGCGGCAGGGTTTGGACGGACGTGACCCCTGACAGCTGTAGCAGCTGATCTTCCAGCCTGAGAGGCGGGCGGGAGCGGGGAGGGTGGGGCGTGGGCGGGAAATGGGAGGGATGAGAGGGAGGAGTGTGACACACAGGTACAAACGAACCGTGCTATGCCATGCCATGCCATGCCATGCCATCATGCCATCCATGCCATCATCATACAAGTCCCGAGCCCCATGTCTAGAGTCCCACGAGTTCATAAGATAACGTTCCAACTTAATGCCTTCTACGAGAGTGTGCCGCACCAGCGGATGCCATGGCACGCCATCCCAGTAACCCATCCCATGCCATCCCATCTTATCCCATGCCATCCCATGCCATCCCATGCCATCCCATGCCATCCCATGCCATGCCATCCCATCCCAACCCATGCCATCGCATCCCATCCCATGCCATCGCATCCCATCCCATCCCATCCCATCCCATCCCATCCTATCCCATCCCATCCCATCCCATCCCATCCCGTCGCATCCCATCCCATCTCTTGCCTCGCCATGCCATGCCATGCCATACCATGACTCACCACGGAAGGTCTGACTCATCCGTCACTCCATGCACGCTGCAAGACAAGATGGACAGGGGGAAAGAGGAAGTCCCATGATGGACAGGGGGAAAGAGCAAGTCCCATGATGAACAGGGGGAAAGAGCAAGTCCCATGATGAACAGGGGGAAAGAGCAAGTCCCATGATGAACAGGGGGAAAGAGCAAGTCCCATGATGAACAGGGGGAAAGAGCAAGTCCCATGATGAACAGGGGGAAAGAGCAAGTCCCATGATGAACAGGGGGAAAGAGCAAGTCCCATGATGAACAGGGGGAAAGAGCAAGTCCCATGATGAACAGGGGGAAAGAGCAAGTCCCATGATGAACAGGGGGAAAGAGCAAGTCCCATGATGAACAGGGGGAAAGAGCAAGTCCCATGATGAACAGGGGGAAAGAGCAAGTCCCATGATGAGCAAGGGGAAAGAGCAAGTCCCATGATGAGCAGGGGGAAAGAGCAAGTCCCATGATGAACAGGGGGAAAGAGCAAGTCCCATGATGAACAGGGGGAAAGAGCAAGTCCCATGATGAACAGGGGGAAAGAGCAAGTCCCATGATGAACAGGGGGAAAGAGCAAGTCCCATGATGAACAGGGGGAAAGAGCAAGTCCCATGATGAACAGGGGGAAAGAGCAAGTCCCATGATGAAGCTGCAAGTCATCATCTCTGAGACTGATCGCAACCACAGCAGTCTAAGAAGCTGCACGTTACTAATCGCAACTGCAAAGACTCAGGAGCCAATAAAATCATCACGGGAGCAATCCCCTATACCGGGGGCTATTCAAGGCGTTCCAAGAACAGGAGGACAGGACACACGTCAGATTTACAAGTCTCGTCTTCTGAACCACCGCTGGTGCTCTCTTCTTTTAATCAACTAACATCAGAGCTCTTGTGACTAACGTCAGAGCTGTTGTGGCTCACGTCAAAGCTCTTGTGACTCACGTCAGATTGACGAGCCTAGTCTTCCGAACCACAGCCGTCGCTCTTGTTGTCTACACCACTCCACCAGACGCTCCCGCCTCAACCGGCCCAGAAATGAGGACACATGCCAGTTTCTGTTGCCACTCACGTTAAATTGACGAGCCTCGTCTTCTGAACCACAGCTGTTCCCCTCACGGCCGTCGCTGCTCTCGTTGTCTCCACCACTCCACCAGACGCTCCCGCCTCAACCGACCGCTTCCTCTCTTCCTCCCCTTCCGCTGTTCCCGCCGCAAATCGCGGCTCCGAGTCCGCTCCCTCCCGCTGCCTCTGGCGGTGGTGGTGATGGCGCTTCGACATGGCCGTGCATACGAGGGCCGCGCCGCCGGATGGCCTGCTGACGCGTGTTGCACCGGCGCCGTCCACGTGGCGCAGGTCCACGTGTCCTCGAAGGATAGGTGCGAGGGGAGACAAGGTAAAACTGGAACGGAATCTCTGCGGCGTGGACGGGCGATGGGATGCGAACGCGGGGGTTCCAGCGAAAGTGGCGAAAGGCGAGGCGAAAGCAGTCGCCATCGTGCCGGCGCTCTCTCACGACTGAGGAGACAAAATATAAAAAAAGACCCGGGAAAATCAAAGATACTGGAATGGCAGGGATGACCGGGATTGCGAGGCGATGAACTGGCTGTCCCAGCGCAGGGATAGCGACTACGAAACTCGGAGACGGCAGTTTTATGGCGATGACCGGGATTGCGAGGCGCTGAACTGGCTATCCCAGCTCGTGAGCAAATGACGACGGCGACGGCACGAGCCGAGGAGACTAAGACGGCGGCGAAACACGGAGACGGCGGTGGGATGGCGGATAGCGGGGTCAAGGCGTATATATGATGCACCAAGGTCGGCAGAGGTTCAGTCCCAGCTTCTGTGCTTCTTACACTCGAGCTATGACCGAATTCATCGTTTTCTACGGTACAGAGTTCCCACCCGAATCACGCGAATTCGCGAACTCGGCAATCAAGAGTGGAGGAGAGCTCTTGGGAGACAGATGTAGTGGCGAGGCGACGAGCAGGCGACGCGTCTAGCGCTTCGGGAAGTACGAGGACGACGCGGAAAACGCAAATGACGCGGATTCCCAGAATGAGAGACTTGAATTAGAAGCTAGGACGAAGAGCGCAACACGTGGCTGGGTTGAATAGTGGAGTAGGGTGTCAGACATGCACTCCGAGATTGCCACGTGTGCTAGAATCTTGGCTGACAGGGAGATACTATTGGTTCTGCTGGAGCTGATACAATCGGGGACACTTTTGCTGTCTTGAGTCATGGCTGACGTGTTTGGAAGCCGAGTTGACCAATCGCATGCTGTGGTTAGCTTTGGCACTTACTGCGAGCGTGCTGTGGGGAGCTGGCGTGAAAGAATCTGCGGTACTCGCTATGACCTGAATTGCAAAAAGCACAATTGAAATGATCAGACAATTCAGCTTCCAAGCATAACTTCACGTAGACTAACGATCATGGTAATCATCCTAACACAAAGCAGCTACAGGTTGGTTTTACTATTACAAAATAGAAACATGGTAGAGTAAGTATTGAGCATTTTTTAAACTGCAAACTCCAAAAGGCCTCCGCAAATGCTGCACATTGCAAGTTGAAACTCACTAATGCTAGACAGCCCAATATTGAGGGAGCAGCCTGGGGAGCATCAGCCAGAGCAGTGCACATGAGCACCAAATTAGAAAATAACATCCTCTTCGGTGGCTGTTGCAGACCAGGACTTGTCAGCAACTGCCTTCGGACCCTTGGCCTCTTCAGCTTCTCTTTCTTCCTTCAGCTTCTTCAGCCTGTCAACCTCCCTCTTCTTGTAAGCCTGCACCTTTTTCAGGCGGAAAAAATCCTCTCGTTCCAGCTCATCAAGCTCTCCCTTGATGTACGAAATCGTGTTCTCCAGGCGAGGCACCACCACATTCTCAAGCGCATTGACACGGCGGTTGGTCGTCTTAATGGCTTCGTCCAGCGTCAAAAAGGATGTCTGCAGAGATGCCAGCTCAACCAGCAACTCAATAGCACGGACGAATGCTGACCTCGCGAGCTGGATCTGCTGTCCTCCTCGACCCAAACCAGTCAGATCATTCTTGCTGTCGCCTGCCTCGGCGAAATGCTCGAATTTCGGCAGCTTCACGCCAGCGACGTTATCCTGCTTCGCGCGAACCTTGATAATGGCCTGATCCACGTTCTCAAAAACGACGTGCTTCACCCTGTCCCCAGCAGCGTACTTTGCTTCAGTCAGTGCGAAGGCTGAAGACTTCATTATGTCACCCATACTCTCCTTCGTCTCCATGATCTTCTTCAATATTTGCCTAAACTGCATCGTCAATGCATCGCTCTTCTTCTTAAGCAGCTGGTGTCCTTTCGTTGCACCAATAAGCCTGGCCTTGATGACCGTCAAAACAGTCACCGTAGGCACGACACTCAGCCGCTGACCTTGCGACATGCTGGCAGCGTGCTGAAATGTCCAACTAAAAAATACTCAAGAACTAAACGATTTAATATTTCCCTCTCCAGCAAGGTCTTTGGCCGCTGCTATGATTGCTGCTCCGTAAGGATGATCAACTTTTCTTCTGATGAAATCCAGCAGCCAAATAACTTGACCTAGAATAGGAGGTGTGAAATATATGTTGCTGTCAAAACGTTCACCTAGGAGCTACAAGGAACCTGCTGGTTTGAAACCAGCGCAGAAATACCCTGGGATGGCTTGGCAAATCGGTACGTACTTCTCGGTTCAATTGGCTGTTACAAAGTCCAGTCGCAAGTTCGTGCGCGGGCCTGATTTGTCAGCCTGACCAGCATCCCTGTGATTCCAGCTAGGAAATCGACTCGGGGTCGAAACTTTCATGTTGTAACGCTTTCGTGGCAGTTTTCGCCCATCAGCGCAATGGGCATATTCTGCCCTGCTTCAACTCCCTCCAAAACACAGCAGGGGCAGGCAGAGCAGAACCACACCCTCCCTCCCTCCCTTCCCTCCCCCAACTTTCGTTTTCCTTTTATACTCCTTTACATTCCTGCATTTATCTTTTGAACTCTTCTGAAATCCTCCCTCCCTTTCCGTCCCTGTTTCTTCTACGTCACCATTTTCCATTTCTCCAGCTTGCATCCGCCTTGCTTTCAAAGTTCTCCGCATCCACTTTTCCGTCCACTCGTCCGTCGGATTTTGCATGAAAAGCATTGGCTCGTCCGTTGTCTCCCTGTGTACTCCCAGTTTTCGCACAAAATCCCCTGCGCTTCCTCTCTGTTATCGTCCATGGCTGCTACGACAGTCGCAATCGCGCAACCAGCCACTAGCCTTTCCTCTAGATCCCTCGGGACCAGCTTCGTGACCGGAACAGCTTCCTGCCGCGTTAGTCTAGCGCCGTTTCGCCTTCCGCAGAGCTCATTACAGTCGAAACCGAAGCGTGGTGCCGCGCGAAAGTCTGACCAAAGATGTCGGCAACGCGGCAGCGCCATGACTGCTCAAGCCTTCGTTGACTGGACTGCCGTTCCTGCGTGGTACGTCTTCGATGAATCCAAACAAAAAAAGACCAAAGTAACCGCTCCAGCCTCGCGCGTCCTTTTGAGACGTCTCAAAAACACCCTCATTACACGTAGCCTTCGTTGACTGGATTGCCGTTCCTGCGTGGTACGTCTTCAATGAACCCAAACGAAAAAGACCAAAGTAACCGTTTCAGCCTCGCGCGTCCTGTCGCGCGCTTCGCATCCATTCTCGTCGTGCTCTTCTCTCCCTAGAAAAATCCCAGCATCTTTTACCATGTCCATCCATTCCCGTTCGTTCGCTCCCCATAGGCTGGTCGAAGTCTTGGCGAAACGCGTGTACCTCTTCAACTCGTACCTGGTCGGGAACGTACCTGGTCCCTCATCAAGAGCCTCTCGTGCTCATACTCCTCCAAAGACACAACCCTGATTTCCATCTCACCCACCATCCCCGTCCGTCTCTCCCATTCCAGGCTCGTCAATATCCTGGCTAGACGAGTGTACCTTTCCAACCCGCTCAATGCTTTCCCTTCATTCCCAACAGCCTCAGAAACAACCCCACGTCGCATCCCTCTTCATTCTTTTCCGTCTCTCCCTCTGCAGGCTTGTTAAAGTCCTTGCCGAGCGCGTCTACCCGTCCAACCCATGTGGGCCCGGCAAGTACCTGGACCCGAACGCCCAAGCATGCGTGTACATCTGCAAGCCGTGCATGTTCACCCCCTTCCCTTCCCACCCGTCTCTCCCCTCCAGGCTTGTTAAAGTCCTTGCCGAGCGCGTCTACCTGTCCAACCCGTGTGGGCCCGGCAAGTATTTTGACCCGAACGCGCAAGCATGTGTGTACATCTGCAAGCCGGGGTACTCGTATGACGACGACACCAAGTCGTGCGTGCGCATCATGCCCGCATGTGCCGAAGGTTCAAAGGGGACGCTCTGAGCCATCTCAACCGCCCACCATTCCCTTCCACATCTCCCCCTTCCCATCCAGGCTGGTTAAAGTCCTAGCTGAGCGTGTCTACCCGTCCAACCCATGTGGCCCCGGCAAGTATCTTGACCCGAACGCCCAAGCGTGTGTGTACATCTGCAAGCCGGGGTACTCATACGATTATGACACCAAGTCGTGCGTGCGCATCATGCCCGCGTGCGGCGAGGGCTACGTGCTCAAGGGCGAGCGGTGTGTGCCCAACCACGAGTGCGATCAGGGGTACTCATACGACGCGTCACTGGACGCGTGTGTCCTTCCCCAGGTGATTTTCTGAGCCTCTCAGGTTTGCACACATGTGAGTGTCCTAAAAGGTACCTTGTGGACAGGGCTATGTGCTCAAGGGCGGGCGGTGTGTGCCCAACCACGAGTGCGACCAGGGGTACTCGTATGACTCGTCTCTGGACGCCTGTGTGCTGCCCCAGGTGAGCGATTGCATGTCTTGGGCTGACTTGTCTGGGAGGGGAATGAATGAATGTACCTTCTTGGGAGGGCTTTGTGCTGAAGGGCGGGCGATGTGTGCCCAACCACGAGTGCGACCGGGGGTACTCTTATAATGCGTCCCTTGACGCATGCGTGCTGCCTCAGGTGAGCGTCTGCTCTAGGCCCCCCAGGTGTGAGGTGGAGCTTGCATTGGGGGGGCTTGTCCTGGTTAGGAGTAGCGTGCAGAGAGGGCTTTGTGCTCAAGGGCGGGCGTTGCGTGCCCAACCAAGAGTGCAACCAGGGGTACTCGTATAACGCCTCACTCGATGCCTGCGTTCTTCCCCAGGTGAGCGATTGAGAGCCTCAGGTGAGCATGGGAGTGTCTCGGGTTAACTGGGGAGGGGGATGAAGGTACCTTCTTGGGAGGGTAATGTGCTCAAGGTCGAGCGGTGTGTGCCCAACCACGAGTGCAACCAGGGGCATCCATGATCTCTCATCCATCCATCATCTCTCATCCTGTTGTATCATCCTGCTTCATTTAATTTCTCTGCCTGCTGTCACTCTGTTATTGTTGCCATGATTTCCCATGATCCTCTTGTTGCTCCAGGGTTCTTTCCATGAGCCCAAACGCACGTGGTGGCAGCAGGCAGTGGCTTGGGCAGCAGGGAAAGTTTTGAAGGCGGATGACAACAGCTGCCCGGCCGGGTTTTACTATGATCCCAACACGACGGCGTGCGTGCCGGTGTGTGCGCCGGGGTTTATGTACGACCGTGAGCTGAAGAAGTGTGTGCCTTCTGATGATAATGTCTTTTGAGGCGCCCCAAAAGGTATTATTACGACCCTAATACGACGGCACGGCGTGCGTGCCGGTCTGTGCGCCGGGGTTTATGTACGACCGTGAGCTGAAGAAGTGTGTGCCTTCCGAGGATACTGTGGTGTAGTCAGCACCGTATGGTTTTGTTGATGTGTTTTGTGTGTGCTCTCTAGACATGCACAATGACAGGGCACTAGGCAGCAGTAGTATCTATCTGGTGTATATAATTCATTATGGTACCAAGGCTTGGTACCTATCGTAGATTATTTATGTGAGCATGAATGAACTGAATTGTGGTTTTAATTATGGACTTGGCTAGAACAGTCTGCACTCAATCCTGAAGCGATTAGTATAGATAGTGGACAGCAAACTAAGGTCGGGCTCCCTCAACAGACTTTTATTTTTCAGCACCTTGCTCAGCTTCACAATTGCATGTGCTTGTCAGCTTCCCTTTCCTTTCCTGCGGCTTGCTCGGCTTCACGATATCAGTGGTGTCGTTCACGTGCTACATATATGCTCGGATACCACAGCTTCGCCTTGACACTCTGATTCACACAACACAAGTCAGTGTCTAAACTAAACTACTTCTTCCCCTTCTTCTTCGGCAGCTTACTCAGCTTCACGATATCAGTGTCATGCACGTGCTTGACGCTCATCCGCACCACAGCCTCATTTTCACGCTCTGAGTCGCGTCACGAGTGAGTGGCTGAACTGAACTACTTCTTCCCTTTCTGGCAGCTTGCTCAGCTTCACGATATCAGTGTCATGCACGTGCTTGACGCTCATCCCCACCACCGGCTCAACTTACACTCGGAGTCGCGTCACGAGTGAGTGGCTGAACTGAACTACTTCTTCCCTTTCTTCTTCGGCAGCTTGCTCAGCTTCACGATATCAGTGTCATCCACATGCTTGGTACTCATCCCCACAACAGGCTCAACTTTACACTCGAGTCACATCACAAGTACCAAGTGACTAAACTACTTCTTCCCTTTCTTCTTTGGCAGCTTACTCAGCTTCACGATATCAGTATCATGCACGTGCTTGACACTCATCCCCATCACCACCTTATGCACTTCCGGCTCTGGACGGTTGAAATTCAAATAGTAAAACGAGTCGTCGATCCGCCGTGGCCCCACGTCCTTTCTCGGGCAGCTCTTGAAATCTTTTATGCTGGTGTACAGTGACGACCCCGTATTCACCCCCAGATCGTCGTTCACGTAATCCAAAAATTTCGCAGCCAGGATATCAGTAACATTGACCTGCCTCTGATCGTTCAGAGGTCCCTCCTCCACAGCCGGTAAAACCTCGCAGTATTTGTAACCAACGTCCCTGCCTTCTGTTTCCACCAGGACGACATTCAGAGTGTTTTCTGTAGGAAGCCCGCTGCATGCTCCGGTTTTTTCGGCTGGCAGTGTGCCTTTTCTCTTGACGTTGCACGGCTTGCTGTTGATGGTTTTCTGCCCGCAAACGTCCGGCCAGAAGGGGTATTTCTGGAAATGGGAAGGGGGAACATGCGGGGGTAGGTTAACAGAGACGAGGAGAGGTGAGCTTGCATGCAAAGCGCCACGCTTTTGCTTTATCTCACCTAACGCTCTCAACAACATCAAAGCAGACTCAGGCTCTCGAACTTTCACGTGCTCCTCAGGTGCTCTGGATTCAAGTCTCACCTTTTGAAGAGCAGGGTGTGATGGTACTACTGAAAAATCAAGACATTTTTTAGGGGACTCAAAAAACACCTCTTGGAAGAACAGGGTGTCATGTAATTGCTTGCGCATGAGCTCCCGGACGTGCCTCAGGTGCTCTCCAGGTGAATCCTCAGGTGATCCTTAAGTGCTTCTCTGGTGCTCCTCGGGTGTTTCTGTTGTGCTCTTCTGACTGTTTTCTCACGAGCCCCCATTACGTGCCTCGATAGGCTATCAATCATAATTACCTCTTTGAACACCGGAATATCGCAGTACTGTTTCCGCATGAGCTCCCAGTACGTGCCGGGGTTCTTGTCACAGTTGAGCACCAGAGGAGTCAAACACGCAATCCAACCTGCGGACCCAGGATCCCACCCAACCACTACATACCGCTTCTCACCTCTTTGAACACCGGTGTATCATAGTATTGTTTCCGCATGAGCTCCCAGTACGTGCCGGGGTTCTTGTCACAGTTGAGCACCAGAGACGTCAGACACGCACTCCACACCTAAGTTGGTCTCTTACGTTTTTTGAGGTCTCGTAAACGTAAATTTCGTGTAATTAAGCGTAAACGTAAACGAAAACGTAAAATTACGCGTAAGTATGAGGAGGGCAGGGAAAAAAAAAACTCATGTGATATTTTTTTCTGGATTGTATACGGTACCAGATCCTACCACTAATTTGTCGTGTGCCTTTCTAGAATAGCGACTTTACTACGTATGGAGCGCCTTTCAAGTCCGTGAAAGTTTCAAATTCAGCGTTGACCTGGTTAGTAAGAGAGAAACACGATAGGTTGCGAACGAGCTGCTAGGTTGACGTCGAACAAGATAGCGAGTTACAGAACTAGGTTGGAGGGAATCTTCCTGATGCTCTGGTCGTTTTTTTTCCTCGGGCAGCCCAGAAAAGTTTTGAGGTGACCGTAAACGTAAGGCCGAATCAGGGCGACCGTTCGTAAACGTAAAAATTGACGTAATCGTCCGAAAACGTAAGGAACCGAAAACGTAAGATCCAACTTAGCTCCACACCAAGGAGAGGACACAGGATCCCAACCCAACCACTACATACCGCTTCTCACCTCTTTGAAAACCTGCGTGTCGTAGTACTGTTTCCGCATGAGCTCCCAGTACGTGCCGGGGTTCTTGTCACAGTTGAGCACCAGAGGAGTCAGACACGCACTCCACCCCGGGGACCCGGGAACCTTCTTTGTAATCACATCCTCTGCTCTGTTCCTGAAGGTTTGAAAGGAGGGGGGGAGGAGACGGGGGGGGAAGGGAGGGGGTTGTGATTAGTGGTTGGTACATGTGAAGTTGTTCAACAGAATTCTCAACGTTGGTACACATAAATCTGGTGTTGTCCGAAACAGCAATGAGAGAACATTAAGGAGGGGGGAAAGGGAAAAGGGGGAAGGGAGGGTGGGGGAGGGCAGGGAGGGTAACTAGGTTGGGGGAGACGTAAGGAAAACAGACGTAACATTATCTTGATCCCATCAGAAGTGTTTATGCAAGCACCTCCCTTGATTGCCTTTTGAGGTGCCTCAAAAGTTGCACTACTCAGGAAATGTGAAAGAGCCGCTTTTCAGGAGAGGAGCAGGACACATACGCACCATTTTCCGTTGTTGACTTTGATGCCATCATAAGTGTTTATGCAAGCACCTCCCTTGATCGCCACTCCAGATGTCACGAAATCAAGGTAGTAGCAATGATCCCCGTTAAACACGTAGTTGCACTCCGCTGTGTTATCTGCATAGAAGGAGCAAGAAAGGAGGGGAAATTACAGAAGGGTAGAGAGATGAGTGACAGGGAAGTGAAGGGTCGAGTGCTATGAGTAGCAGGTACCAGTGGTCACCAGTGTGTTATCTGGTCACCGGTGTGTTATCTGCAATCCCTCCCAGAGCTGAACATATCCTTTTGAGTCGACACAAAAGCGGGAAGTGAAGGGTCGAGTGCTATGAGTAGCAAGTACCAGTGGGCTGAGCCACTAAACACAGTAGTAAATCCCAGCAGCATCTTGATCCCCGGATCTGTTCCTACCAGAGGCCACCACCAGGTTGCGGTCAATCTGTGTGAGCATGCAGTCGCCCGCAAAGTGCACGTCAGAGCCGACTCAGCAGTATGTGGGACCAAACCAAACCAACACCCTTACCAGGGCTGAAGCCACCCTTACCAGGGCTGAAGCCACCCTTACCAGGGCTGAAGCCACCCTTACCAGGGCTGAAGCCACCCTTACCAGGGCTGAACCAGTGCACACAATAGTAGATCCCAGCGGCGTCTTGATCCCCACTCCGATTCCTCCCAGAGGCCACGACGAGGTTGCGGTCGATCTGCGAGAGCATGCAGTCGCCAGCAAAGCTCGAAACAACCTCGTTACCACCACTGAGAAAGCGGCCAAGACTCACCAGGGCTGAACCAGTGCACGCAGTAGTAGATGCCTGCTGCATCTTGGTCCCCGGATCTGTTTCTCCCAGAAGCCACGACGAGGTTGCGGTCGATCTGCGTGAGCATGCAGTCGCCCGCAAAGTGCACGTCGGAGCCGCAACGGATGCCCGCGAATATGAAGTCGTGCACGTAGTTGTTCCGCACTATCACGCCCACTGACCCACGGTGCACCACTATGGGAGTGTTCACGCCTGTAGGAACACAGTGAGGGTGAGAGGGGCATGGGAGGGCAGCGGATGCCGGCGAATATGAAGTCGTGCATGTAGGTGTTTCGCACTATGACGCCCACGCTGCCACGGTGAACCACTATGGGTGTGTTGACACCTGAATTTGCGTGGAGGGGGGAGGAGGGGAAGCAGAGGACAGGGGAGGATGGGATGGCGACGAATGTGAAAGAAGTTGTGCACGTTTTTTGCGCACTCCCACATTTGGTCGACTCAAAAACGGGAGGATGGGATGCCGATGACGAATATGTATGAAGTTGTGCACATGGTTTCTGCACACTATTGTGCCCTCAGCGCCACAAGGAGAAGATTTTGCACACATCACGTGCAAGTCCTTGAAAGCCTTGTGGAGCAAACCAGGAAGTGTGAAGTATTTACACTCACCATATACTTCATTGTTTGTTATAGCGATGAAGGATTTCGCGAGTGTAGGCCCGTGGCCACTGTAGGTCACTTGAATCACGCCAGGCGACTGATTGAAGGTCGGAATCCCCGTTACACGCATGGAGTCGACTCGCGACGACGCCGAGCGGTGTAGATCGATTCTTCCGAAAACACTCCCCTTCGCGATTTGAATCCCGTACGAACGGATGACGGAAATCGTCGGGCACTGCGCCTTGGCCGTAATTTCGGGAACAGTCGTGCAGGTTGGGGACGACGAGCGAACGCTGAGCTTGAAATCGACCTTCAATACAAGCACGTTGCTCGTGTTCCATATACGCAGCACTGGTTCGTTCGCTCCCACGTGAGTGATTTGAAACGGGTTCGCGGCGGTCTTCGCGGATCGCAGAATCGTGCAGGAGAACTTGCTGTCAAAGAGGATCCCCTTGCTTATAATGAGGTTTCTCTGTAGCTCGAGTATGACCGTTGAAACGGGAGTGTAATCCAGTCGCTTGTTGAAATCCGCGAGGGAAGATATGTTGATGACGGGCGCTTTCACGTAGTCGGAGCAGGGGCCATCTAGCCATGCATCGGCTGACGGAACGAGAGGAACACGAGAAGAGGGCAACAAAGGACGGAGGAACAGGAAGAGGGCAACAAGAGGACGGAGGAACACGAGAAGAGGGCAACAAGAGGACGGAGGAAGACGAGAGAATTAGCTACTGAACATTAGGTGAAATCAACAATGAATATTCCTCAGGGTTATGCAGGTGAGTGAGAGTGAGCGCAGAGGGGCTTGGCCTACAAACGACAACGCAGATTCTGCAGCACTCACCCATCTGCCGGCGCTGCCCCATCGGCCTCTCCTCACGCGCCACGTGTCCCCTCCATTTCCTCCACCCACGGCTCATCCCAACAGCAGCCGCTTCGGCACGGTATGACGTCGCAGCGAGTTCGCTCCCAGTTGACTTCCCACTCGGCGCTGAAACGTCCTGCGTCTCCCACGTTGCAGTACGAGCATTCGCCGAATCTTGAGGCGGTTCGTAGGAATCCCACGTCGCATTCGCCGAATCTTTGGGCGTCTCGGAAGTCTCCCCCCACGTCTCGTTCCCCGACGCGAACAGAGAAGCGGGGGATGACGATATCGCCGTCAGGTCAGACGAGTGCTGACGTGGACGCGCCGAGGACGGCCATTGGTCCAGGAGGCGCCAGACAAGCCCGCGGTAATTGAGTACGTCTGTGGGGACAAGAGGCGAGGGAGAGGAGGCGGGGGAGAGGAGGCGAGGGAGAGGAGGCGGGGACAGTGGAAGGGGGAAAAAAAGGTCTGGAAATAGGTTGGGTGGGGGTGAAGCGGGGAGAGAAAGGCAGTAGGAGGCGCCAGACGAGGCCGCGGTAATTGAGTACGTCTGTGGAGAGAAGAGGGGGGGGAGAGGAGGCGGGGGAGAGGACGCGGGGAAGAGGAGGCGAGAGAAAAGGGATGAGTCGGGGGAGAAAGGAGCGGAAGAAAGTGGGGACGAAACGGGGAGAGGGGGAGGGAGTGGGGGGAGAGGGGCGGGGAGGGAGGTGGGGAGAATGAGAGGAAGCAGATAGTAGCAAAGGTGAAAACGTGAAGTATGACGTCACCGACGACTCGTGGAAGACCCACGCTGAGAACAAAACACGAGGACGAGAGAGGGAGCGAAAGTTAACTCATCAGAGCAGTGATTCGTGAAAGCATGAAATGCCGTCTGGATGTCAGAGCGGAGGCACATCACACGTCTGACTGCACACTGACAAGAAGCTTCAAAAGAAAAAGGGGACTTCTGAGTCAACTCAGAAGCATGAAATACCGTACGGATGTCAGAGTGAGGCACATCAAACGTCTGATACGAGAAGCGCACTAGCAAGTTTTTCGACTAAAGAGCGTGTCTCTTGTGAGTGCGCTTCTCTTATCAGCAAGGGCATGTGTGACTCATCGGCGTACCTGAGGGCGTGAAGGCGAGTGCGCGGGGAGAGAGCGTGAGGGCGACGGATAGACAGACGAGCAACAGAAGAGGAGTCTTGCGCAACTGTGCGCGTCGCGCGGCGGCCGACATGGCGAAATAGAGCCGGCGAGATAGAGTCGGCGAGATATAAGCGAGAAGGCAGTTGTTGATGTCTGAAGGTTTTTCACGTAACAGCCCGAAGATAGCGCCGCGTTGTGGGGTTGTTTTAGTTGTTTTCGCTAGAAGCGTTGGTGCGCGAAAGCCTTCGTTTGAAACACCTCAAGAATGTATCGTCACACGCCGCGTTGGTGGTCGGAAACCATGGCGCGAGAGACTCTACTTGTACGTTGCGAAACAAGGTAAACAAGGTACGTTCGATCGGGAGGGTCTGTTGCAGAGCTGCGCTTTCTAGCAGGCCGCGAAGGTTTGCCAAAAAGCGATGGCCGGCAGCCATAGTGAGAAATACTCGGAGCTGCCATTCTAGGTCTGTGATTGGCTGGAGGCGAATGCGGTCAGGTGACGGACAGGTAGAACCTCAGGTGGCAGTCAGGTGTAATCTCATACCACCCAGAACTCCGTCGGTGAAAGACGCGTGATTCGCGCAAGGTGTGCGTGAGGGGGAGGTGAAGGGAAGGTCTTTTCCACCTGTCCCAGAACATAGCTGGCTGGAAATGCGGAGAAAGGCATTGGTGGCGGTGCATCTGTTCTTCATGGCCACAGGCTACCTTGCCTTGGGGAGAACTCGCATGAGCTTCTGCTGGGCATTGAACATTCAACGTACTGCAGCGCACTGCAACGCTCTGCGTCGTACGGAACCGTGTACAATCATGTTGAACTTTGATTGTACACGGTTCCGATACATAGCAGGCTTTGCTGCTGCGCTGGCAGTGATGGCTGCTGGCCGTGCTGTCCTGCTGGAAGCAACGCCTGGCATAGCTGCAAAGGTGCAGGCAAGGGATAGAGCAATAATGGAGGATGTTAACTTTCGACTTGGTAGAAGGACTAATTGAGTTGCACATTGATACATCATGTTCATAGGTAGCACACTATTGTTGTCTCCTTTGCTATTTCCCTTACAGCTCAATTCAGCTGTAAATCCTGATTTGACCATACTTGGTGCGGAACGGATCACAGCCACATTTTTTTGATGTGTGAAATCCCATTTCAGCCTTACTTTGTGGTGCCTTCGAAAAGGCACTCCAAAAATTATAATATGCCGCTTGATGAGAAACACACACGGTATTCTTTAGTAAAAGGCGAAAGAATAGTTCGCTATGTGTGTGACTCACGGCTGATATCGAGTCAATGGGATTTGGGTTGGAGTACTACTTCTGCAAACTCTTCGTCAAAGAGTGCATCGTGGTCATGCGTGACGACGTGGCGTGTTGTGTTTCGAACGACGTCCAGCTCAAATGTAGCTGTACTGGGCCACTGCGAGATTTTAGAGCAAAATAACGGTACAGAACGGTATTACTAGGTCTCAGTATGGTCCGACACGCTGCGAGCCGATTTCGTATGGTTCGCTTCAGTCGCTGGGCTAGAAAGAACCTCAAGAGTTGACCCACATGACAGCCAATCCGCCAACAGCGCTCCTTCAGCACGCCAGGCGTTTGCCAACTTTATTCTGGTCGCGTAACGCGTGACAAAGCGCGCTAGCCGTTGAGCATCGGCGCGCGAGTCTTTGCGACATCACACCGCGATCCGTCACTTCGTCTCAGTGGGCGGTCGGTCTCAGAGGATTTTTTTAGTCACCTCGTCTAGTAGCGCTTGGCGGCGGCGATGCTAGTAGGCCTATCGAATGACTTTTGACGCGCCACAAAATTTCCATCTCAGTTTGCGGTCGATTTCACATTAAATAGTCGCCTTGTCTAGTAGCGGTTGGCGGAGACGATGCTGGGCCTATCAAATGGCGAGATCGGACTGCTCGTCTTTCTGGGAATCGTCGCCTTCGGTAATCCATTCTGTCATTTATCCGTGCGCCGACCCTTCTCAATGCTCCGTCGTTTGAGGCGCCTCAAAAGTTTTTTTGGGAATCGTCGCATTCGGTAATCCATTCTGTCATTTATCCGTACGCCGACCCTTCTCAATGCTCCGTCGTTTGAGGCGCCTCAAAAGTTTTTCTGGGAATCTTTTGAGGCGCCTCAAAAGTTTTTTTGGGAATCGTCGCATTCGGTAATCCATTCTGTCATTTATCCGTACGCCGACCCTTCTCAATGCTCCGTCCCTTCCCATTACTACTCCCACGTATATCCCTCCACTCTACCCGCATCCTTCGCTGCTCCCTTGGTCCTGTGCTCAGACGTTCGATCCCTTATTCCTCTCCTGCTTTCTTAAGAAACTTATAATGTCGCTGCTACCCTCTCCTGTACCTTACTCTCAACGTTAGGTAATCGATTCCCTTACTTCTGTCGTGATCCCGTCTGGCTGTCTCTAACATTGCACTCACTTCACCCCCTCTATGCATTTCCCGGTATTCCCCTGAAGGGCGTAGTCTATCACCCATTTCCTCTGTCTGAGTCTCCTTCCCTTGGCCTTTTCTTTCCAGTCTGATACATTCCTCGCTGCACTCAACCCCTTACATTTCCCTCCTCTTTTTGTTCCCCCAATTTTTTTTTATCGCTCGTTTCTCGCATTGCTGCCCGGCCAGGCCCCAAGGATATCCCCGTGATAGCTCGGGCAGCTGGACGCCTCACGGGACGAGCCATGGGTTTTGTCCATGCTGCCCGAACCAAATTCAGCTCTTTCGCCGACCAGACACAACTATCCGAGGTACGACGTTTACGAACTCTTGTAACTGTATTGCAATTGGAGCTTTCCAAGTGGTGTGACGTTTCGTTTCTTTTCTGAAGCTAGGGCAGCAGGAGATTGCTTTGCGCTGACTCAGAAGTTTGACGTCCTGTCTTTCTTACCAGCAGGAGGGGCAGCCGGAGGGGCAGCAGGAGGTGACGCAGGAGGTTCAGCAGGAAGGGCAGCAGGCGTTGGTTCAGCTGCCGGGTTACACTGACTGAAGCGTCTTTGTTTCCCTCAGCTCTTATCCCATTTTTTCTTTTTTCCCCAATGTGTTGATTGCAGTTGCAGCAGGAGGTGCAGCAGGCGATGGCATAGCTGCCGTGTTACACTGACTGAAGGGTGTTTGTCCCTCTCCCCCTCACTTCTCCTTCTTCTCTTTCCTTTTTCCCCGAACTCTCTGAATGCAGTTACAGCAGGAGGTGCATGAGGCGATGGCACAGCTGCCGTGTTACACTGACTGAATGGTGCTAGTGCCCCTCCCCCTCACTCCTCCTTCTTCTCTTTCCTTTTTCCCCGAACTCTCTGAATGCAGTTACAGCAGGAGGTGCAGCAGGCGATGGCACAGCTGCCGTGTTACACTGACTGAATGGTGCTAGTGCCCCTCCCCCTCACTTCTCCTTCTTCTCTTTCCTTTTTCCCAGGCTGTGTGGCTGCAGTTGCAGCAGGAGGTGCAGCAGGCAATGGCACAGCTGCAGGCCATCCGACACCAGCTGAACTCAGGAGTCAGCCTGCTGCATCACATGCCTCCCACAGCCTTCTCTCCCCATGCAACACATGAAACGTGTCTGTCCGTTCCTTTTGTTCCCATCCCTTCCCCATTCGCCCTTCCATTTCTCTCGGCTGTGTGGCTGCAGTTGCAGCAGGAGGTGCAGCAGGCGATGGCACAGCTGCAAGCCATTCGGCACCAGCTGAACTCAGGAGTCAGCCTGCTGCACATGCCTCCCGCTCCCCATGCACCCCCTGCACCCCCTGCTGCACATGCATCACATGCAGCCTATGCACCCCATGCATCACATGCACCCAATGCACCCGATGCTCCCCATGCTGCACATGCATCGCATGCACCATATGCACCCCACGCACCACATGTATCACACACACCTGCTCCATCCGACATGCCATCAGCACCCAACACATACCCTTCACCCACACCGCACCCCACAATTCCCCATGCCACACTAGGTGCCTCCCACACTACACCGCGTGTACCCATGGACTTCCCACCCGTAGACCTTTCCAGACACATGTCTCCCGCTGTAGCTGCTGCTGTAGCTGAAGCTTCTGCTTCCGCAGCTTCAGGGGCAGCAGGGGCAGCAGAGGCAACCGGGTCAGGAGTAGTGGCAACAGTCGGAGGAGTGGCAGGAGCACCAGGAGCAGGGTCACCGGGTGGCAATGACTTGCCTCCATGGGTTCTGCCCGTCTCTGCTGCTGCCGCTGGTTTGCTGCCTCCAAAGAAAGGTAAGTACCATCTCTTGTTTTTCTTGCTGCTAACCTGATTGGTTGCAGGAGCTTCATTGTAAAGTTGCATAGTATTTCAATAGTTGATCTACACTGATTTTCTTTTCGTATTTGTTTCATAGAGTTATACCGTGTGCCTTCCTATTTGTTCATCCATTCACCAATCACCATCTATGCAGCCTCCCTCCCTTGATCTCGTTTCCAACAGGTGGATTTGCTCTGAGTGGGTCTGATATAATGGCAGAAGCTCTAGCAGAAGAAAGGGTTGCGCGGCAGGCACACACATTTGTATCCAGCAGCATTGCCGTAAATAGCTTGCCTAGACCACAATAACCTGGATAGTGGAATTTCGAGATCCAATTGTGTTTCTTCCTTGCTGGTGTGCACTTGCAGTGCACATGACACGAGTCTGGTGTATTTCTCGAGTATGAACTGCAATATAATAATTATCTTACAGGAAGAAAGGAATAATTAATCATCATTGCATTTGATATCAGCATATAAATAAATACTGCATGACGTGGGCAGAATTCAGATGCTTATAAAGCAGTTTTGCTGGGTTATTACTACCATTTGCCATCAAATGCCACACTACACACTATACATGAGGGACTAATTTTGTTAGTGAGCTACGTGTGTTAACGAAGAGTTCACATCCGCGAACAAGTTTCAAACTGCCAAGTTCAAACACAAATCCGTTCGACATTCCCTTGGTTTGTTGGGACAAATTCCCTGAGCCCTTCACTCGAGGTTCCAGCTCATAAACAATAGCTTGTTGCACGGATATCGTCCAGGATTTTGTTCCCAGTTTGTCATTCGAATCGGTTCTGCTATCCACCATGAAGAAACGAACGGGCTTCCAGGTCGCGACGCTGAAATCGCCTCCTCCGCAGGCGAAACCAGCTGAGGAGAAGAAGACGCCGACGAAAGCGCCTAGCGGTTCTTCGAGGTCCGTCATTGTGAATATACTATATTCATTGAACATCATAATAGACAACGCCTCGGCGATGATGAACGCCCACTTTTGCTGTCGAATTTTGCAGTTCATCCAGCTCAGGCTCGTCAAGCTCAAGCTCCGACACAACGGCAGCTGTGACAAAGGAATGCAAGGGCGACGAAGTGACGTCTGTGCCACGACCTCCTCCTGTAGATGGTGCGACGAATCAGGCCCCAGAGCCATCGAAATGCTCGACTCCCGGTACGTCCGGCGATCAGTTTTACACGCCTTTGTCCACGCTCAATTCTTACTGGCTAAGTTCATTCCGCTGCTCCATTCACCCAGATGTTGCAAAGGAGGGAGTTGAAGACAAGGGGAAATCGAAGTCTCCTGCTGCGTAAGTATAATTTGCACGTGGAACGACTGATGAAATTTGGTCATATTTTCTCGTCACTGTCTGCTTGCTTCAGCTCATCAAGCTCGTCGGGCTCTGGCACGACTGAGAACGGGAAGGAAACCAAGTCAGACACTGATATTGAAGTTCAGTCGGAGAAAAAAGAACCGGCGAAGGCCCAACCGGAAGACACTGCGCAGGCCACCACCCCAACCCTTACGGAGCTGTATGACAAGGTGGATTCAAAGAAAAATGATTCAAAGTCCCTTTTGGAGGTCAATGACGCATTGAAGACACTGGATGCAATGACTTCAAAACCTGATGGTGCGGAAAGCGTCAAAAGTCCACATGGCTCACAGAACCAGTCGAAGGGTATGACTAACTAAGCGATGTTGTCGTTTGAGATTCTGGATTGATGATGGCGTACTCACAGTCCATGGAATTTGCAGGAGCGGCCACTGAACCGATGGGGAAGGCACACACTGACGAAGAGAAGAAGTAAGTCTTGTGACAAGAGCACACGAAGCATGCAAAGTCAATTCTCTTTTAGCACCTGACCAGCGCATTGATTGCTGCAGAGTTCCTGAAAATCCAACGAGTGATGGACCACAGCAACCCGAAAAAGGCTTAAAGGTTGAGAGAAATGATGCAGTCCAGTCAGCCAGTGATGTTGCTTCTCCAACAAAAGAAGGTAAGCGTTACCCTGCCAACCCTGATTTGAACGCTCATACTCCAGCGCATAAAGCCTCATTGAGTCTGTTCTGGCAGAAACAACAGTGGAGGCAGCAGTCGTTAAGGGTTCTGATGCTGGCGTTCAGAAAAGTGAAAGTTCTGCTGAACCTGTCAAACATGCGGAGGTTGCCAACAAGGATAATAACAGACCCGATAAAGACACCGACGATTGTGAAAAAGCTAAGGATTCAAGTGCGAAGAAGTTGTCCAAGAAGGAGGCATCACCAGGAAAGTCCCACAAACGCCAAGCGGATAGCAAGCCACCAAGGGCTCCTACGCCTTATATTATATTTTCGTAAGTGTCCAGGGTCCCATATACTTAGTTGGCTGCTTCCCATGTCAGACCTCCTCAACTCAACTTGTGAGAGTTTGTGCAGCAATGACATTCGAGAGTCCATCAAGCAGAGAAATCCTGACATGAAGCCAACAGACATCATGAAGGTGAGCAGCTGTAGGACGTCTCTCAGGAAAGATTTCCGACCATTCAAGGCAGGGAGTGAGAGTTGTGAAATTGTTTCACAATTTCTCCTTTTGCAGGCAATCGGTGAACAATGGCGGAACCTGCCCAAGGAGGAGAAAAAGGTGAGGTGGCTCACTAGGACGGGTATGTGAGAAAGTCACATGTGATTTTTTTCTTAATACTGTAACTTCCAGACCTACGAGGATAAGGCAGAGGCGGAAAAGTCCAAGCTTGGACTAGAACAGGGTAGCACCAATGGGCCAGCCTCCGCACACAAAGGTACAAGTTATATTATGAGAAGGTCTTTTATTATGTTGTTATTTTTCATCTTGGATGATTTTCACTTTATTTCATTCTAAAATACAAAGCCTGTGTCTGGGTTTTCGTTGCAGGAACAAAAACAAATGTTAAAGCTACAGCTAAATCGAAATCGAGAAGTGACAGTGATAAGCCTCGTTTGGGAAGACACGGTCAACCAAACTCAAAGCCTGCTCAAGGCATCCTTCAAGATGGTATGTGTCACACGGCACTGCACGCAGTGCAGGCACAAGTAATTCAACCTTCTTCACCTGCTTTTCCATTTCAGGATTTATTGTCTTCTGCCTTGAAAACCGGGGCCGGGTTGAGGAGGGGTTGGGGGAAGGAGCTACTTTGGCAGATATTCAACAAGAACTTTCGAAAGAGTGGGAACAGTTAGGCTTTGACGAGAGGCGGAAGTACATGAGTGCCGCTAATTCAACTGCAGATATTGAAGTCAGCCCATCGAGCATGACAGCCAATCTCGATCCAGCCTTAGCATCGTCCATATCAGGTGTGACATTGGGTCTAATGTCCATTCCGCCTTGCATTTGTCAGCTTTTCTAACCTGGTTAATGCAGATGCTATTGTTGCTGGTTATAAGAAAAGCGAGGAAGGAGATGTTGAGGTATGTATTTGAATGACGGGCCCCTTTCAATGCGTGGTATTGTTCTCACTGTTTTTGTTGGATGCAGTTTGTGCTGGCACAAACACTGGAAGGTGACTTTGTGACTAAGAGGAAGAGACTGGACTATACGGATCTTGACTATGAAGAGGCTAAGAAGCACAAATCCGGCACTGATGTTTCAAATGCTATCAGCGCATTCAAGAGAAGGAAGCGACAGTTTTATGCTGTAAGCTCAACGTCTTGGCTGGAAATCCTGCTGCAATGAAATGAAGCATTAAGGCCACTGTCGTTTCACATGCAGGAGATAGAGCAGCGAACTGTAAACGGCGTCCTGGACCTTGACGACATTTCCGCAGGCAGCATGCTTGAGGTAAAGCTTTGAGCTATTACGGTGAGAATCTTTTCAGGTCTTGTTAACTCGAACTAATGCCATGGTCCCTTTTTTTTTTTTGCAGACCCTTGCCTTTCTTGGGAACATGCGTGAGGTGGGCTCGCATTTCTTATCCTATTCACCTTCTTGCTGGTTCCTCAGTTTCGTCTGACATGGACATGACCTTGCAGGATGTATTTCCTACCACGAATTCCAAGCTCCAGTCTCCCGATGTTTGGTATGGCTGAGGAATTACTTTGCAGTATATACTTTGATATTATTTCCAACCTTTGATGGGTACCTGTGCTTGCAGGATGAAAGTACCAACGCTAGGCCTCTGTCTGCTGGTTCAGAATCTTCTGGATGGCGAAAGGCAGTATAAAGCAGTGCTGGTGCAGCAGCTTGATGAAGCTAAGAAAAGAATTACAGAGCTGGAGAGCAGAGCGGTGAGGATGGAGGAGTGAGGACTTTGCAAGGTCTGAACAAGTGGTATGCCCACTTTTCCTTGTCATATTCTTACTTGGTGTGTGTTCTTTGTGTTACAGCAAAATTGACGGTTGAATAAATGTTTAATATACATATACGTTGGATGTTGAGAAAATTTGTAGTCAAGTTTATTGACAAACTTGTCTACAAATATTCCCCTGCAACGTGCAGATGAAATGAGAACATTTTAGACACTTCACCCTTGCAATGTCAGCTTCTCGTCCTCATCGTTGCATCCCTCGACCCCATTCTCCTCCTCAACATCCACAGACCAGATACCATCGAATTCAGTAGCTAAAAAGCTCCTGTATAAATACCCAACGTAGAAATATACTCTTCCGTAGCAGGACGCCCCTGTCTGTAGCGTATCTACTGCCTTCCACGTGATCATAGGCCTTACACGAATACCCTGCATTGGGACAGACACACACATCCAGGTGGCATATTTAGTATCGAATATACAACTCTTACGACATGACATTTCAGCTGGGCGCTTCTTACCTGCAGCTTTCGAATCCAGCCGTTTTCAATGGTCCCGCTAATTTCGGTTTCAAAGCGAATGGGATATCCGCAAATTTCCTTCTCAACAACTTGGTCCAGGTATATACGGAAGGGGCCAGTCGCATTGCCGTAACAATGCTGTATGTGATGAGCAGGCATCAGGTCTTTCGGAAAGCCGTTCACCTGCGCACGAATAACTTGGTTACGACCGTGGAGATGGGAGCAGAGCGGAGATATTCAAGAGCCGTGAATGCGACCTCAGTACCTCTAGAGCCTTCGCCACAAGGCCACCAGGCGTCTCTCCTTCTCTTGTACAGCCAGCGCAATCGCAGGGAGCGTCGTCTCTCATGAGCGCGCTCTTGCTTGGGACATGGATAGATGAGAGATCGGAGACCACCATGTCGAAGCTAATCACAAGCTACGCCTGTTGGAGTGATACGATGCGACGGGGACGATTACTGATGGGCGCAAGCATCAGCCGGAAGAAAGTAAGCTAGAAAGAATTGAATTGAACTTGGTAGGGGGAGCAATTCCAGTGTTTTATTGCTAGTCCTTCCCGCGTCCGCAACAGAACCCCCCTCACCTCATGGTCTCGAACAACAGTGGGGCAGACTCGAGCGAATTTCTGCCACACTCCACCAAACCCAGCGAATTTCTGCCAGACTCTACTGTACCCCAATCGTAATCTTGCCAGATGGTTCCACTTTTATCTATGCTGGCGGCCAGGTCGTTGAAATGGTGTGCGAAGCCCGCTTGCGAGAGTGTACGAAACGCTTGAAGAAAGCATCCGACAGGGCAGCCGCCGCTCAGCATCGAAGCGCCAATGTGTTGCTGACGGATGCAGCCAACCGACCATCACAATGGCGAACCAATCAACGGCGGGAATGCATCTCACAGCCTATCGGCGAATATGAATTCCGTTTCGCTATGTAACGATATTTCAGACTGTCTGCGCGACGTGGCGTGCGAAGGGGGTCACATCGTCGCCCACCAACCCGCTCCCGCTAACGTGGACGATCAGTAGCGTCAGGTTATGAGATTCTTCCGTGGCAGATTTCGGTGCGGCTTGCCACCTCTACTGTAGAACCGATACGCATTGACTTGATACTCAATACAGCGCGTTCCGAACCATTTAGAGCATGATTACCAGTGACGCAATTTGTGTTATGTAGGACATTATCAACCCCGAATGAAAACCAGAACCCAAATGCTCTTCCTTAATCGGTTTGAAATTTATTTCTTGTGCGAATTTTTTGTTTAAAGTTTTAATTTAATTCAACAATGTTGGTGACATCATAAAGGCGTGTTGATTTCATAAGACATCATAATTTGTGCTCTCTAGTACATGTAGATTCACCTGAATCCACGAGAGTCAACCATTGAACAACGCGTATAGCTTGCAGACGAACACCAATCCCATGTGGAACCACAGGCGCTATCAGCAGCACCTACCTGTCAATCCCCGCTGATTCCCCTAATGGGTTCTCACGTGCTAGCCCAGTTCTTCCATAAATGGCGGCATTCCCTCCTATTTCACGCTTTTCATTTTGGACGTTGGAGGTCTCTCATGGAGTAGCTCTTGTGTGTAAAATCAGGAATGGTAGGTGGCAGGAACGAATAGATAATAAACTAGTTGCGGAGCTGTCACACAGTTCGTTAGTCGCGAGTGTGTTTTCGTCATGGCATTCTGACCACTGTAGATTCAGCCACTCAATCCGCGGCTCGGGATACATTCACCCAGGCCGACCCCTCGTTTATTCTCTTTGAAGTCCAACGCTGATTCGGGTTGGAGGTTCAGACCACTGTTGAATTGACAGAAATTACTGTTCATATTATTTAAATCGTTCATTCGAAGAGCTGCAGATTAGAGTGGAAAACAGCAGCGCTGGTCTGAGACGTCCTTAAAACAGCAATGCCGGCCAACAGCCCTCCGCCAGAGTCCGAGCCGCGTCCCTACCCCGACCCGTACCACATAGTCGACGCGCTTCGAGCGCTCGAATCGCGATGGGTTCCCGAAGACCGCTCGTTCGTTTCCTCTTTCGCGAATGCGGGTCGCGCGTTCCTCTCCCTCCTCAACGCCTTCGCGTCGCTCCGCGTCTTCGCGTGGCTTCGTCCGGTTCTCCCGGCGCTTTTAACGGGCGCTTGCGTCATGATCGTCTGCCTCGCGTCGCTGCTGGCTTTAAGAGGCGGCGACGTTCCCAGTCGCGACTCGATCGCAGCCGGTGGTATAAGCCGTCGTGGAGGAGCGTTGGGGAGTGGCGGCGTGATTGGCGGCGTGAATCGCGGCGGGAATGGCGGCGTGGGAGGAGGGGAGGAGTTTAAAGTGGACCTATGGGTGGAGCGAGAGATGCTGCTCCATGCCGAGACTGTGTACCAGGTACGGGGATCGCCGAAGCTGTGGCCTAGGTTGGGAACATGCCGAGGCTGTATGTCCTAATCACACACAATCTCCCCCACAACCCCCCCCCACTCCCCACCCCCCCAACCACAGCCCCCCCCTCACTTCCATTTCGCCCCCTTACACACTAACTTTCCGCCTACTTCCCCCTTCCTCCTGCCACATCCCCCCACCCACCCCCTTCCTCCCCCCACACCCACCAATTTCCCCCCGCGTCGCTTCTCAACCTGCAGGACAACATGCGCCGTCGATCGGAGTTCTTTGGCGGGCGATCTCAGCCGTTGGATTTGGACATGCGGCAGGAGCTGGAGAGCGTGATGGTGGCCCCGTACCCCTGCCCCATGGAGGAGCGGCTGGGCATCTGGGCGGACGGGGGGAAGGTGGGTGAGGGACCATGCGGCCTGGTTGTAAACGGGTAGTGGGCATGGGATGAATGCAGGGAGGTGCAGAGCTGGAGAGTGTGATGGTGGCGGCATATCCCTGCCCCATGGAGGAGCGGCTGGGCATCTGGGCGGACGGGGGGAAGGTGGGTGAGGGACCATGCGGCCTGGTTGTAAACGGGTAGTGGGCATGGGATGAATGCAGGGAGGTGCAGAGCTGGAGAGTGTGATGGTGGCGGCATATCCCTGCCCCATGGAGGAGCGGCTGGGCATCTGGGCGGACGGGGGGAAGGTGGGTGAGGGACCATGCGGCCTGGTTGTAAACGGGTAGTGGGCATGGGATGAATGCAGGGAGGTGCAGAGCTGGAGAGTGTGATGGTGGCGGCATATCCCTGCCCCATGGAGGAGCGGCTGGGCATCTGGGCGGACGGGGGGAAGGTGGGTGAGGGACCATGCGGCCTGGTTGTAAACGGGTAGTGGGCATGGGATGAATGCAGGGAGGTGCAGAGCTGGAGAGTGTGATGGTGGCGGCATATCCCTGCCCCATGGAGGAGCGGCTGGGCATCTGGGCGGACGGGGGGAAGGTGGGTGAGGGACCATGCGGCCTGGTTGTAAACGGGTAGTGGGCATGGGATGAATGCAGGGAGGTGCAGAGCTGGAGAGTGTGATGGTGGCGGCATATCCCTGCCCCATGGAGGAGCGGCTGGGCATCTGGGCGGACGGGGGGAAGGTGGGTGAGGGACCATGCGGCCTGGTTGTAAACGGGTAGTGGGCATGGGATGAATGCAGGGAGGTGCAGAGCTGGAGAGTGTGATGGTGGCGGCATATCCCTGCCCCATGGAGGAGCGGCTGGGCATCTGGGCGGACGGGGGGAAGGTGGGTGAGGGACCATGCGGCCTGGTTGTAAACGGGTAGTGGGCATGGGATGAATGCAGGGAGGTGCAGAGCTGGAGAGTGTGATGGTGGCGGCATATCCCTGCCCCATGGAGGAGCGGCTGGGCATCTGGGCGGACGGGGGGAAGGTGGGTGAGGGACCATGCGGCCTGGTTGTAAACGGGTAGTGGGCATGGGATGAATGCAGGGAGGTGCAGAGCTGGAGAGTGTGATGGTGGCGGCATATCCCTGCCCCATGGAGGAGCGGCTGGGCATCTGGGCGGACGGGGGGAAGGTGAGTATTCATACCTGCGAAGTATGTGATATCGGCCAGCAGTATGTGCCTGCTCCAATGAGGTGTATTTTGAGGCGCCTCGAAATACACCTCACTGCACGCGGGTTTTGAGGTAGGTGACCTCAAAGTAGTAGGTGATATCGGGCAGCAGTACCCTCCTGCTCCAAGCCCGATATATCACATCCCTGGGAATACTAAATAGCACCTTCCCTCCTCCCATATTCTTGCTCTCTCTTTCTTTGTCTCCCTGAATCTCTGTGCAGTGGGCATGCAACATGAGGTCTTTCATTCCAGAAGCGCCTCAAAAGTCCTCTTTTCTTCTTCCTCCCTCGCTGTTTCTTCTTCCTGGCCTTTTTCCTCCACGCTCTCTCTGCGCAGTGGGTTTGCAACATGAGGTCTTTCATTCCAGAACACCCAATCGTCTACAGGTATAAGGGGATCGTCTACTTGGCATAGAACGTGAGGTATGATGTGTTTACTTTTGATTCGCCTCAAAACATTGGGGTAACTTTTCAGGCGCCTTAAAATATTGGGGTAACTTTTGAGGCGCCTCAAAGGAATAGGGTATAAGGGGATCGTCTACTTGGCATAGAACGTGAGGTAAGATGTGATCAGCTTTCTTGACTTTGACCCTCATGTACGTTCACCTTCAATTCAACCCGTGATTAACTGAAACTCTCGCCTCCATCTTCCCTTCCTGCTCCTGTCTTGCTGCATACTTTCTCCCTCTGCGCTACTGCCCCCCCACCCCCCTTTCGCCTTTGATCCATTTCTGTTGGTGAGTTCCTGTTGGCCCCATGCTTGAACTCACCAACAGGAGGGCCTAGGTGTCTGCGTACCCGTCCATGCACCTCCGATCCGTTCCTCGACCCTGCAATGGAGCACACCATGATGTGCCTGCCCTTCCTGTCTTTCCACTCACACTCCAATCCTTTTGTGCCATTGCCTCCCAACACACCAGCATAGGGTCCACTGGGGAGTACACATTTGAGCGCGACATTGCCTGCACACCCGTCCCTTCACCTTTGATCCGTTTCTTGACCCTACAATGGAGCACACCATGATGCGCCTGCCCTTTCTGTTGCTCCACTCATGCAAGCCGTTGCCTGCCCTTCCCTCCCCCACCCCACCCCGTCCACCAGCATAGGGTCCAATGGAGAGTACACATTTGAGCGCGACATTGCTGCTCGCCTGCACACAAGTCCATTCACATTCGATCCGTTCCTTGATCCTTCAATGGAGCACACCATGATGCGCCTGCCCTTCCTGTCATTTGAGGCCGTCGGATTGGCGGCGAAATCAACGGTGGAGCAGTGGAAGCGGGAGACCAAGGGGAAGGCGTTTATGACTCTAGAACAGGTGAGGTGGTTTATTGATGAGTCGCCTCAAAACAGGAATATCCCTTTGCGGCCTTACGTTGAGTTAGGCAAAGTAGGGGGTTGAAGGGGAGCAGTGGAAGGAGGAGAAGAAGGAAAAAGCGCTTATGACTCTAGGGCAGGTAATCGTTTAGTCCTGCCCCATGCCTTCTCTGTATTACTCCTCCCTCCCCGCCCCTCTCCCCCCTTGCCCCATTCCGTCAGGTGAAGGCAAGATCGACTGCAAGGGGTGTGGTATGAGATGGTGGTTCTGTTTGACAATCAGCTGGCTACTGTCTTGACATTCAGGACATGCTCTGCTCTCTACCTCTAACCCTCCCTCCTGCATTGAGGTGATTTTTGAGGCGCCTAAAAAATCACCTCAGTGGTTCAACTGAGGGCTCCGTGGTCAATTTTATCCCCTTTCCCCCTTCACCACACACAGATAGACGTGTTCAATATTGACTGCGAGGGCTGTGAGGCTGTGCGGTGGTGCTGTTTGACATTCCTCCGTGCCCCTTCCTGTCTGCTCCCTCTGCTTCTGCAGGTCATGAGAAAGCACAACCGCACACACATTGATGTGTTCAAGATAGACTGTGAAGGGTGTGAGGCGGTGGTGCTGTTTGACATTCTGCCTGCTGCTGCCTTGCTCCATGCCTTCTCTGTACTATTGCCCCCCCTTCCCTCCCCACTCCCCACCCCTTTCCAGGTTATGAGGAAGCACAACCACAAACATATAGACGTGTTCAAGATCGACTGTGAGGGGTGCGAGGCGGAGGTGCTGTTTTGACATTCTCCTTGCCCCTCCCTCCCCTTCCACTCTCTTTCATGTTTGTTCAGGTTATGGCAAAGCACAACCACTCACATATTGATGTGTTCAAGATTGACTGCGAGGGGTGCGAGGCGGTGGTGCTGTTTGACATTCTGCCGGCTGTTGGAGTGCCAGAGGGAACTCGCCCCTTGCCGCTTGGGACCCCCCCCATCGGCCAGCTAATCATAGAGTTCCACAAGTAAGTGCCTCTGCCTTGCACTGGTGGGCGGTCGATTGGCTGAGAGGAGAGGAGGCATGGGCGAGAGCATGCGAGGGCTGTGAGGCGGTGGTGCTGTTTGACATTCTGCCGGCTATTGACGTGCCAGAGGGCACTCGCCCCTTGCCCCTCGGAAGCCCCCGTATCGGCCAGCTGATCATAGAGTTCCACGAGTGAGTGAGAGGAGAGGAGGCATGGGCGAGAGCTGTGAGGGGTGCGAGGCAGCTTTTGATTCGACTCAAAAGCACGAGTGAGTGAGAGGAGAGGAGGCATGGGCGAGAGCAGCAAGGGGTGTGAGGCAGTGGTGCTGTTTGACATTCTGCCGGCTGTTGGCGTGCCAGGGGGAGCTCGCCCCTTGCCCCTTGGGTCACCTCCCATTGGGCAGCTGATCATTGAGTTTCATGAGTGAGTGCTTCTGGTTTGCAGAGGGACTTAATGCCTGCATGACCGTCAAGCTGAGAGGCTGAGTGGGTGAGTGGGCGAGTGGGCGAGGAGGAAAGGATGAGGAAGCATGCCCCTTGCCGCTTGAGACCCCGCCTATCGGCCAGCTGATCATATAGTTCCATGAGTGAGTGCTTGAAATGCACTGGTGTGCAGCTTTGGGATTTCAGTATGGCTAAGGAGGGAGGAGCAGCACCCTCGTATGCCCCATATTGCTACTGCTGCTGCTGCTCTCCCTGCCCTTTCTCGATCCTGGCAGTATGGGCAATCCCAGCAAGACACTGTTCATGGTGTACCATCTGGGGAAGATGGGGTACCGCATGTTCTCGCTCCCACCCCCCACTCCCTCCCAGCCCCTCACTCACAACGCCCTCCCTTCCTGTGCCCTACCATATGTCTATTTGGTCCTGGCAGTGTGGGCAATCCCAGCAAGACACTGTTCATGGTGCACCATCTGGGGAAGATGGGGTCTCAGATGTTCTTGCTTACTGGTTCAGCTGCTGCTGCTGTCCGTGTTCTCCCTTCCACCAACCCTCAAGCTCCCCCTCTCCCCCTCCCTCCTCTGCTTTGATCTTGGCAGTGTGGGCGACCCCAGCAAGACACTGTTCATGGTGTATCATCTGGAGAAGATGGGGTATTGAATGTTTCATGTGTTGACTTATGAGTTGACTCAAACCCCACCCCTTCTGCTCTGCTTGTTGCCCTTGGCAGTGTGGGCAACCCCAGCAAGACACTGTTCATGATTTACCATCTGGAGAAGATGGGGTACCGAATTTTCCATGTGGAGCAAAACGCTCAGCACCCAGAGTGCTGTACTGAGATCTCCTTCATTCATGAAAGCCTGGTGTACTCTAAATGATATGATGCAATGATTGAGATTAATGGAAGGAAAAATGCACTGTATGGTGCAACGCAAGCCTGACAACACACCACACCACCCTATTGCTGTCTTACATATGTGCTCAGCACAACTCAGAGGTTGAAAGGCATGACGACAATTTGGATACAAACTGATAAGGATATGCACATTGCCATTGCATCACATCTGCCAGACAGCCGTAAGATGATTTTGCCAAAAGCTGTCTAAACATTGTTCTTGGTAGTAAAGCCACCACCATTATGCATGATCCATTCCATATGTAGGGAGAACACTGGTTTTGACTGTGATTTGCTTACAGTAGGTTGAGAATGCAGCCTTGATAGATCACATCCGCTCAGACAGGTGCTCCTCATTGAAATATCAAACTAATATACCGGTACCGGTCCGCAACAATCAAACTAATACATTCACTCCACATCTAACATATGTGTGCTGTGATTGAACAAAATCACAACATTGAAGAAACTGGGCAGTAGGGTCAAGCAAGCAAGCGGCTTTAGTGTAGGGTAGGTTAATTTGGGCCGCGAATTGTGAGATTACGCGTGTCGGATTTAATCAGCTCTGCAAGTAAATGGGGGGCACAGGGCAGACGACATGGCAGAGAACAGGGCAGAGGACAGGGCAGAACGGGAGAGCAAAAGAATGGGTCTGATTAACTAGACGACAGGTACATTGCGAGTGGTACGTGGCAGCATGAAGAAATTAGCCATGCTGCGACAGTGGTGTGCAGCAGGGGCAGCAGCATTGGCATAAGCCGAGGCAGCAGCAGAGGCAGCAGAAACTGCAAAAGCAGAGGCAGCAGCAGTGGCAGCAGAAGCGGCAGAAGCATCGGGCAGGAGAGCAGCAGGGAAATGGCTTTGGAACTCACTCCATGGGTTGGCTTGTTTTGTCTGTATCTGCTGAAGGCACCTTGATGTCTGATGGCAATTGACCCGATTGCAGCGCCTGGTGTGGTGTGATAGGTGGGGTGGGGTGGGGTGGGGTGAGGTGGGGCGGGGTGAGGTGGGGCGGGGAGAGGTGGGGTGGGATGGTTTGGATTGGGATGCAATGAAGAGGGAATGAGGGCTGGAGATAAAAGGATGAGGGGAAGAAGATAAACATTCACGACACAAACCGGGCATGCAAGGAAGGCAGAGCAGCCTACCTTTTCGAGACGAGCAACCTCTTCCAAAGTCTGAGCTGTGCTGATCGCAGCCTGCAGGATGGCACAAGAAGGAAGCAGGGGAGGCAGGGGCAGGAAGGGCAGCAGGGGCACGAGGGGCAAGATAAGGAAAGCATAAACAACAAGTGGAACCTCTTCCAACATCTGATCCGTGCTGAGAATGAACGAATGCATGTGAGATATGGTAGTATTTATAGGAAATATCACCCACGCAGACACAATCACTCAGCTATAGTAGGCATTTATCATTCGCCATAAAAACCTTCACCTTCACGCATAAATAAAATTCGCACTCACCTTGATTGCTGTGATCTGCTCTGGTGTTGGTCCCTGTTTCGCTGCTGCTGCAGATGCAGCACCCGCTCCCTCCCCTCCCTCCTTCTCACCAACAGCTGCTCCCTCTCCCCCCCCTCCTGCCCCCCCTGCGGCCCCTCCTGCTTCTGCCAGTGCCTCGCCAGGCACAAACGTGTTTGCTGATACGCGCTTGGCCGCTGCTGCTGCTGTTCTGTCCTTGCCGAATGTTGCCTCCGCCTCTTGCCTCTCCTAAACAACGGGAGAGAGGGAAGGGAAGGAGGGAGGGGAGGGAGGGGAGGGAGGGGAGGGAGGGGAGGGAGGGGAGGGAGGGGAGGGAGGGGAGGGAGGGGAGGGAGGGGAGGGAGGGGAGGGGTGAGGAGGGAGGAGGGAGGGGAGGGAGGGAGGGAGGGGAGGGAGGGAGGGGAGGGAGGGGAGGGAGGGGAGGGAGGGGAGGTAAGGGAGGTAGGGGAGGAAAGGGAGTAGGTGAGCTAGGGAGGAAGAAAGGTGGAAGGAAAGCAACACTAACGTACACCTTGACTTTTCGGAAGTCGAGGAGTCGCAGCTTGGGCAGCAGGTGGATCATATAGAGGTGGTGTTTGTCGATGAAAGGGAGCGAGGTGAGGGAGGGAGGGAGGGAGGGAGGGAGGGAAAGAGGTGGAGGACAGGCAGAATGACATACCTTGAGCTTCACTTTGCGGAAGTCGAGCAGACGGAGCTTGGACAGCAGATGAATGGCATAGAGGCGGTACTTGGGCTTCTTGACGACGGTGTTGTCGAGGAGAGAGAGCGACGTGAGGTGACGACGCAAGATGACGGGGCGGAGCGGGAGAGAGAGAGGTGTAAGGACAGGCCCAATATCATACCTTGAGCTTCACTTTCCGAAAGTCGAGGAGACGCAGCTTGGGCAGCAGGTGGATGGCATATAAGCGATACTTGGGCTTCTTAATGACGGTGTTGTCGAGGAGAGAGAGCGAGGTGAGGGAGTGCGCTAGGGACGCCAGTGGGTCGAGATCTGCAAGGTTGGTAAGACGGTTGTTGGCCAACACTAGCGTCTGCAGCTTGGGGAGTTGGGCTGGTGGGGGGGAGGGGAGGAAGTGCGAGAGGGTGGGGATGGGGAGGGGGGAATATGGGGGAGAGGTTGGTGAGACGGTTGTTGGCGAGAACAAGGGTCTGCAGCTTGGGGAGTTGGGCTGGTGGGGGGGAGTGAATGGGCGAGAGGGCAGAAAGAGGGAGGAAAGGGGAAAGACGGGAGGTGAGGGAGTGGGCCAGGGAGGCCAGCAGGTCGAGATCTGCGAGGTTGGTGAGACGATTGTTGGCGAGAACGAGTGTCTGTAGCTTGGGGAGTTGGGCTGGTGGGTGTTGCAGGGCGGGGAGTATAGAAGCAGGCAAAAGAGGGTGATTGTATATGAGAGCGAGGTCTAGCAAGCATGTCGGTAAGGTGATTGTTGGAGAACAATAGAGTGTAAATCTTGTGTAGATGAGCTGCGGGGAAAAAGGGAAGGGGAGGTGGGAGGTAAGGGGAGAAGAGAGGGGGCAAAGGGAGGGGAAGAGGGGAGGGGGAAGAAAGGATGTGATTGGGAGAGGAAAGTGATGCGGTTGTTGCAGAGCAGCACAGTGGAGAGCCGATGTGGTAACATGGTAACTGTGGTAACATTCGAGCACACACAGACAGCCTCACGACATGATACGCACTACCTAGCTGGGGGCTGATGCGGTTGTTGCAGAGCAGCAGACTGAAGAACCACGCAGGTAACACAGTAGCACGGCAGCAACAGCACGCACACAGCATTGAACACACGATACGTACTACCTAGCTGGGGGCTGATGCGGGTGATGCGGTTGTTGCAGAGCAGCAGAGAGGCGCATGTGAGGTTAAATGTGTCGCATGCCAGTCAGCTTAAGACGCATGAGGCGTCCAGTGAGCACAGCACCAGCATCTGATACGTACTACCTAGCTGGTAACACGGTAACACCAGCCCACACACAGCATTCAACACGCGACACGTACTACCTAGCTGGGGGCTGATGCGCGTGATGCGGTTGTTGCAGAGCAGCAGGGTGGAGAGCCGAGCTGGTAACACAGTAAACACAGTAACATGGTAACATTTGCGCACACACAGGCAGCCTCACCATATGATACGTACTACCTAGCTGGGGGCTGATGCGAGTGATGCGGTTGTTGCAGAGCAGCAGGGTGGAGAGCCGCCGCAGCAGCGGGAACCCCTCCAGCTTCACAATCTCGTTGTCCGACAGGTCAATGCTGTCAAACAGATCCTGTGCGGTGCGGTGGGGTGGGGGAGGAAATTCACAAAATTGATGGGCCAAAAGGAAGACGCAGCAGAGGGAACCCCTCCAGCTTCACTATCTCATTGTCTGACAAATCGATTTGTCAAACAGGTCCTGAGAGAGGAGAGACAGGAGGGAAAAAGGTGAGGGGAGGGTAGGCGAGTTGACTTTTGAGTCGACTCAAAAGTCAACAGGTCCTGAGAGAGGAGAGACAGGAGGGAAAAAGGTGAGGGGAGGGTAGGCGAAGGATGGATGCAGCAGAGGGACTTCCTCCAGCTTCACTATCACATTGTCTGACAGGTCAATGCTGTCAAACAGGTCCTGGTAGGGGAAGGTAGGAGGCACAGACCAGAAGGGGGAGAGGGGGGTGGGGGCCAGCAGGGGTGTGGAGGGTAGGGGAAAGAAGGTTGTAGCAGAGAAAACCCATACAGAATCGTTATCAGACGGTTGTAGGTCGTTATCTGACAGGTTGATGCTGTTGAACAGGTCCTAATATGTGATGAGAGGTGGGGTGCGGTCAGAAGGGAAAACGGGGGAGGTATGGGTTAAGGACCTGACGGAGAATAGAGTGTAGCAGCAGGGAAGGATGCAGCAGAAGGGAAGGGAGGGAACGTAAGTGGCTGCAAATCGAGATTAGGGTTGGTTCAAGGGGAAGTCTAGGAAAGTGGCGCAATGAGGAAGGGCAGAGGGTCTAGGGGATGGGTTTAAAAAAGGCTCCATTATGCTTTTAAAAATCAGGTGAAGGGCCTAGATTAAGAATGTGCGTTCATGTGGGGCAGGGAAGATTGAGAGCACCGCTTTATAGAGGAAGGCTGATGGAGGGAAGCAGATAGATGGAGGGCTCACCTCTGTGGCTCCGAGGTTCTCAATGACTGCGATCTTATTCCCTGCCAGGCATGACGGGACATTTCGTACAGTCATACATCGTACAATTATTGGACCGGACACATAATTCAGCCACACACTGCGTACACGGTGAACGTGGTGTGCTTCAAACGGATGTACATTCGAACAAAACAAATGGTTCGTAATAACGGTGACGGACGATGCGGTAATCACGGGTGTTCGGGTCACGTTGTTAGCATGAGACGCATTGAAATCAAAAGAGGGAGTGATAACGGATTTGTGTTCGAATTCTTCTCACATAAAAACGAGGAATATTCAGCGTCCTGTTAAGTTATCATGGCCATAAAATGACTCAATACCAAACGCTCTTTTTAAATTGAAAAAACTACTGGTCCCACGGAAAAGCAAACTGCCTCTTGAACTACGGCGCTTTCGGTCCATGACAAAACCTGCTTCCGTGGAATACCGCACAATGAAGTTTAGGTAAAATTGTGATTTGTTTCTGTGCAGTATAGTAGACATCCACACTTTTCGGGCGATGCTGAGGTGTCACGCACCTCTCAAGTCGATCTCTCGTTCTCGCACCGCGTTGAAATACTGAGGCGATTCGAGGATCAGATCTGCGGTTAAACGGACCATGATGGCGACAGCCGATCTGGCGAAGGCTAACGAAATCTGTCCGACGGAACGGCGTAAGCTAGCCAAAAATAACAATTTCAAGCAGTGCGATTACACAAGCAAGTACGCTCTCAAATGAGTCGGACGATATCGACCTAAGTTTATGAGAGATGGCGGATAAAGCGGTTCGAAACGCAGAGAGTGGACAGTGCCAGAGGGGTAGGGAAAGCTGGTCGGCTGGTAGAGAAAATGAGCAGGCATTGTCTGCGGGCATTGTATTCGCCGTCAGCTCGTGTTCCACGGTCTTGACTGGTACGTTGCGGTCCGATGCGGTATATTCCGAGAACGCTCATAACCTTTTCGAAACCTACTGAACCGTGCATAGAACCATCAGCACGAGGTGGTTGATTTCCTAGAAAACTTGAATGCATCCCTCACACAAGCACAGAGCTTGGAATCATTGCGTGCCACGTCGTCATGATCTACCCACAACGCACTCTTCATGGAAGCATTCTGTGAGTACTAGTCGGTTTGAGCAATATTATTTGTTCACCAGCCGTGAGTCACACACATAGCGAACTATTCTTTCGCCTTTTACTAAAGAATACCGTGTGTGTTTCTCATCAAGCGGCATACGCTAATTTTTGGAGTGCCTTTTCGGAGGCACCACAAATGAAATTTGAAATGGGATTGGGGTCTTGAGGGGAAGGAAGTTGGTGCAAATAAATACTTTGAAGTTCACACCACTGTCGATCCTCTTCCTGAGTCGATGATCGTGCCATTGCCACCTCAGAAGAGGTTTCACGATAGAAGATTAAGCGGAAAAAATCTCCAGCTAGTACGTAAGTCGAAAAACTTCCCAGTCATATTGGGAGAGTTCCAGACCCCGTCTGCTCCTAGTCCACATTCCGCTATTGTCACAAATTCACCTCGTCACCATGGCGTCAAGGTCGGCTTCTGTTTCGCTGTCCAATCCGCGCACTCTTCTCCCGCGAATCCACACGGACTCCGTGCTATGCTGCCACGTGGACTCCTCTGATTGCCTCCTCGCGACTGGCAGCGAGGTGAGGCGCGTCGAGACTCGCACGCCTAGCATAATAACCTATTAATGTCGCGAAAACGATGTGTCTCGCATAAGACGCTACGAGGCGTCTCGCCTTGGACGCTAGCGGGAAGGAATACGCGTTACTAGGGCTTGCGAAATCCGTCAACTCAAATCCACGTGGGCGTCGATCGTCAGTTGTGGAGCCGTTAGTTCTTTTAATTCTTGACAATGCCTGTGATTTTTTTATTTTTAAATCACACACCCAAGATTATATGCTGTTTGATTCTCCTCGGTTCTCCAGTGAGTGCGTGTTCGGTTTTCATTACACACCCAAGATGCACCTACCTGTCAAATGTTGTAGCCTGTAGTGAGGTTTGTCTTAGGGGGTACAAAACTTAGGGTTAGCTATATGTACCCCAACCAACATCAATGCACCATCCATTCTTCATTCTGACATGGTATCAGTTAGGTTAGGATCCTGTGGGATCCCGTTCCTCCGTTCTCCGTTCGAGCCTCCCGAGCCTGATCCTAGCTCTCATTCGTCCCGGTTCCGTTGTTACCGCGCGTAGTGCCGCGCCTAGCGCCACTCCTAGCGTCGCGTCCTGCCCGCCCTTTTCCCCCCGTCGCGTCGCGCTCTTTCCCCCCGTCGCGTCGCGCCCTTTCCCCCCCGTCGCGTCGCGCCCTTTTGTCAGAATATTATGCTCTAGCCTGCAGTGGGGTGCTCTATAGCGAGTACAGCCCTTCTAGGGTTAGCTATTTGTACCACCGTTGTTGCTAGTGCAAACCCTCTCTTTCGTTCAATTCTCTCTTGCCTAGCTAGGGTTCTCCTAGCTATGGCCTCTCACTATACCTACTATCACGACATGGTATCAGAGCGGTTACGCTCTTGGCCTGTGGGCCCCACTACTGCTTCCGCTGCCCTACTCTGTGCTGCGCGCCCCGTGGCGCGCGGCCTTCAATTTTTCATCCCGCCGCGCGCTCGGGGCGCGCGGCGGTTCCCTGCCCGCCGTGCGCGCCGAGGCGCGCGGCGGTTTCCAGCCGTGGGGGAGCCCGCGCGCACCCCGCCCGTCCGTCGCGGCGCCCTGGGGAGCACTCGCGGCCCCCACCCTGCACGTCGCGTCGCCCCCGTCGACCCTCGCGTCGCCTCCGGGGACCCGCGCGCACCCCCCCACCGTCGAATCGCCCCCCCGTCGCCCGTCGTGGCCTGCGCGCGGCCCGTACAGCCGGCGCGCGGCCCGTACGGGCTGCGCCAGGCCCGCGCGCGGCCCGTACGGGCTGCGCCAGGCCCGCGCGCGGCCCGTACGGGAAGCGCCAGGCCCGCGCGCGGCTCGGGCCGCCTGCGCGCGGTTCGGGCGGCTGTGCCAGGCCCGTGGGCGGCCCGTTCCTCGCTGCACCTGCCCTCCCCACTGTCCCCCGTGCTTCTACTGGCGCCCTACCCCTCCTACAGCCCGTTCTCCTGAATTAGGGTTTGGGGGTGAGGGGTATGGGGGTGAAGCCACTGAGTGCCGTTCCCTGCTCCTCCTCCTCCTCCCTAGTCTCCCTCTGCTACAGCTGCCACTGAGGGGGGTGGTGTGTGGGAGCCTAGGGTTTGGGGTTTAAGGGGGGTACCGTGGGAGTGGAGCTAGGGTTCAGCAGGGGGTGTGTGTCGAGGGGTGTGTGGGGCAGTTGGAGGAGGTTGAGCGGAGGTTGCCGTCGTGTCGTCCGCAGCACCTGTATTCCGGGGCCTTTCTCCTCCCGGTAGCTCAGAGAGCCGGTTGCATCGGTCGCCCGTGGGTCAGTTGCTACTGTCGCTGGCTGATCAGACGCAGAGCCTGTTACTCCTGTATTCCGGGGCCTTTCTCCTCCCGGTAGCCACCAGCGTTGCACCAGAGCCGTCTGTTGCCCGTGTGTCTGCAGCTTCAGTCGTCGCCTCCACTCTTCTCTCATCTCACCAGCCCTCCTCCTCCTCGCTTGCCCTCTGTGACAGCCTCTAGCTTTACCCATAATTGTGAACTTTAAACTTTTGCTTCTTGCTCATGTGCTCAGAATGTGTGGTGACATCGTGATCCACCCTGAGCTTGTACTGCTTTGCTTGCTGTGCTGATTACACCCCACTTTGGCTATGGGGGTGTGTCAGAATATTCTGCTCTAGCCTGCAGTGGGGTGCTCTATAGCGAGTACAGCCCTTCTAGGGTTAGCTATTTGTACCACCGTTGTTGCTAGTGCAAACCCTCTCTTTCGTTCAATTCTCTCTTGCCTAGCTAGGGTTCTCCTAGCTATGGCCTCTCACTGTACCTACTATTACGACACCTTTCCCCCCGTCCCGTCGCCCTGCCCCGTCCCGTCCCGTCTCCCCGTCCCGTCGCCCTGTCCCGTCTCCCCGTCCCGTCTCCCCGTCCCGTCGCCCTGCCCCGTCCCGTCCCGTCTCCCCGTCCCGTCGCCCTGTCCCGTCTCCCCGTCCCGTCGCCCTGCCCCGTCCCGTCGCCCTTCCCCGTCCCGTCGCCCTGCCCCGTCGCGTCGCCCTGCCCCGTCGCGTCGCCCTTCCCCGTCCCGTCGCCTCTGCTCCGTCGCGTCGCCCTGCCCCGTCGCATCGCGCCCGCCCTTTCCCCCGGCCCGTCGCCCTAGCCCGTTCTTCCGCTGCGGCTAAGTCCCCCCCACCTGAACCCTAATTTGCCTCTTACCTCCTGCTGTTACTCGCCTGCTCGTTCGCGTTAGTTCTCGCTATGGCGACTCCGCGAGTTCTTCGTTTCGACGCTGACGGTAGACCTCTTGACTTTTCCGTCTGGCTTCTTCGCGCTCGCCGTCTGTTAGAGAGTCAGGTCCAGGGGGGCGAGACCCTCTGGTCGCACGCTACTGGTGACCTCCCCGAGCCCCCCGAGCCTGCCGCTTTAGGTCCTGCCCCTGACGATGCTGCTACGGCTCGCTTTGCCCGTCAGCGCGCTGACAGGACGGCTTGGACGTCGCGTGACGCTGCGGCCTGCATCGCACTCAGCAGCCTCCTCCCTGAGTCAGAGGAGGTCCACTTCACTCAGGTTCGCACCGCTGCTGCGTACCTCACTGCGATTAAGGCCCGCTACTCTACTCCCGCTACTGTCTCTCTTGGCCGTCTTTTCCTCCCGTTCCTGTTTCCTGATCTCGCCTCGTTTGAGCGCTCTGCTGACTTGATCGCTCACCTCCGCTCGCTCGACACTAGTTACCGCGCTGCTTGCACTGAGGCACAGCTTGCACTGCTTCCTCCCCCTATGGCGATCACTATCTATTTCATCGCCACTAGCCTCCCTGACCGCCTTGCTTCCGTTCGCGACGCGCTTCTGCTGAAGCACCCTAGTGAGCTCACCGTCGATGTCCTTGAGTCTGCACTCAAGGACGTCGAGAGCAACCTTCGCTCGGTAGCCGCTGCCTCTGGTGCTGTGCCCCCCCCACTCTTCCACGGGTGCACAGTCCCGCAGTTACCCACCTTTACTGCCTCACTTGCCACTGCCGCTACTGACGCGACTGCAGCTGCTGTTACGACTGCGTCGCGGTCCCGCGGTAGGAGTGGCAAGAAAGGCGGTTCTGGTGGTGGTAGTGGAGGTGGAGGCGGAGGTAGTGGAGGTGGCGTTGCGCCTGGCGGCGGTGGAGGTTCAGGGCCTGGAGAGGCGCCTCGTGCAGTGACTGGTGACTCCACTGCGCCTGCTAGTGGTGGCGACGCCCGAGTTCGTCAGTCGCCTCCTGTACTTCCTGCCCCGGTTGGTGGAGCAGCGGCGTGGTACCAGGCTCAGCGTCAGCAGCAGCTTCTGCAGCACCAGCAGCCCCTCTCCTCCCAGCAGCCTCAGCAGCAGCAGCGGCAGCAGCTGGCTCCAGGGTCGGGGCTGCGTCAGACCCAGCGCGGTGCTGCTTACACTCCCTGCACCTACCAGGTTCTGACAGGCACTCGTCGTGGCCACCCTTGTGGCCGGTTTCACCCCCCTGGTCAGTGCTTTGCTCAGCTCACTGACACGGTTCGTTTGGTCTACGGGGTTGGTGCTCCTGCCCCTGACTGGCTGCCTCTTGTTCAGCGCTACGGCTCCGCTCTGTGGGGCATGTCTGCTGAGCAGTTAGTTGATCTGATTGGTACTCCCCATGCTATGTATGCTGTTGTTGACTCTAGTGTTTCTGACTCTGCTTACTCTGGTGTTGTTAGCTTAGGTGCTAGCCTTGCTCAGTTGCCTGTTGCTAGTGTAGGTTCTTGTGTAGACTCTAGTCCAGCGGCTACCTCAGAGGACGGTTCG